CGTAAGCCGTTTTGTCCTCTTTCTTTCTCTCCGTCTCCCTCCGCTTGTGTAAACCAATCTACCTTTACCTTTCCAGCACGCCGGGTGGTGTGTTACATAAAAAAAGTCTTTGAACCGGTCCAGCTTAAGGTTTTTCAGCGTGCCAAAGTGCGTGTTATATAAATATTATAGGCCTGGCTGTAGAAAACGCAGTGCACCGCGGAAGTTGTGTGTGTGTTTTTTTTTCTTTTTTTTTTTTTTTTTAGAGTCAAGGATGCTTCTCTTTCATGAGGGGCAGGTTCAGGGAGGCTGCTGTACTTGTCTGATCCCCGTGATAACGGCCTCGAGAGTGTGTGTGTGTGTGTGTGTGTGTGTGTGTGTTTGAGCAGACACACATTTATATTTACAGTGGGCGGCTGGTTCTACAGCACTGTAAATACAGTACAGCTCAGGAGTGTGTGAGTGTGTGTGATATACAGAAGTTGAGGTTCCATTCAATTGTCAAGTGAACGTTAGGCATGTTTTTTTTTTTTTTTCAGCAACTGATTTGAAGCAAATAAACTACGGGTCAGAGATTTTTGACAAAGGCTTTACAGATGGTTGTAATCAGCCAGTAGAAAGATCAGAAGAAGTAGTAGAGTTTACACACTGGAAGCAAAATGAGATTCCTTGGCTGCCAAGAGAAAAAATGGAGAGGACTTAAGGAATTTACTTCAGTCGGGCCACTTAATTGTTGTTTCTTTTGGCCACGTTTCAGATTGTCCGGCGTGAAAACCTTTCGGGGAAGGAGCTCTCGCCTTATTGGCGCGCACGAGGAGGACGCGGCTCTTCTATACAACCCTGTGTGCTTCGGCTGCTTGTTTACCGTCTGTCATGCTAATGTACTTACAGGGATCACCGGGTTCATTCTCACCACATGGGCCGTCCATCACACAGCATCTGACGACCCATTATTCCCCCCCCATAACCATGTTGTCTTGCTAACCTTACAATAAATGAAGCCCCTTGGACTTTATCTCGAACTTGTCATTTATTTCTACTTCATGTTTTGTTTCCATGGCAACAACTTGAGGCCCGTAATGACCCGTTGTGCAAATTCTGAATTTGGCAAAATTACGCCTTGACCGGCCGCTGTCATTACTAAGTGAAATATTGACTCTTGACGGATCTTAGGGGGGTACTTTCTTGTCTTAGTTCACGCTGATTTAGCATTCCTGCCGCAGCTGAAACAGGGAGGAGATATTTCAATCATTTCAAGAATGCGCTCAGTGTGACATCTGAATTACTTGCAGACAAGCTGGAGGCCATCTTGAGCCCAAACATCTGTCCAGTGGACTGGTCCTGGGGCATTTCAGTGGGCACAGTGGTCTCAAATACATTTTATTTTTGTCGTTTCATTAACATTTGTTTTCTAAGCAGCCGGGGAGCAGCAAAGAGGCCGGCAAGCGTCAGTAAGAGATACAAACCTTTTTTTTGGGTGGGAAGAAACCGTTGTGTACTCGCACTCATCTGTATCGTCATGGGAAATAAACAGCAACTAAATCAGTTGTTAGCTTTGTGCGTAATCTTTAAAGATGAAAGGACACCGAAAACAATGAAACCGCTGCCCTGGGGTTTCTGTAGGAAGAGAAAAAAGCAACAACTGGAGCGAAGAATGAGACCTTTGATCTGTGCAGTCAGTCCCATTGAGTCAGTCGGAGATTGTACCCAGAAGTAAAGACAGGGGTTGCAATAAAAAAAAAAAGTCCCAGTTCTCAGAAATAGCCTGGACACAACTGAAGAACGGGTCATCCAGAAGATTTCAGATAGCAATAAATGAATTGACTTTATTTCTATTTCACATTTTTTGTGTAGTATCACACTGTACATTGACCTAAAATGGAAGTTAATCTGAGCAATGCAAACGTGCCTCTTTCGTAGACTGGCTTTGTGTTTTCAGTATGAGATGAACAGCGACATAAGGTTCAGCGTGCAGGACTGAATAACAATTTTACTTCCAGTGCTCCATCATCATCTGAACCGTAATTGAAATGGACAGAAATTGCAACCTCAGAATATTGCAAGCTATAAAAATGACATATAAACAGGGTATTTATTGTGTGTCAAAGATGCGCACCACCTACCAACAACATACCGATTAGAATTCTGACTGGAGACCTCGGCTGCAGCTTATTCCCTCATCCTCTCGAGCACATTAACATCATATCACATTAACAAACTGCAGGCCATCATCTGTGCTGAAACAGCCCGATTTGGGAAAGTCTGGTAGCTTCGTGTTGAGTTTTGTGGCCGCTGGCAGCCGTTGGTGCACCGTCACTGCAGCCTGCCCTGTCTGCTCCGGTTTCATAAGCAGAGAGTGAATGACCTATATACTTCTCTGAGGCGGGGGGGGGTGAGGGGGGGTCACCTTGTTGGTCGACCAGCAGGCCGCCCGGCTGGCTGGCAGCGATGAGGTTTTTAATGTGTGGCGCTATTAAAAGGGTGGACGGGCGATGTGCGTGTTATAGAAGCAGATACTTTAGACCTTTAGATGTGCTCTTTGTGTTATTCTCGACTGTAAACTTTATTTGCTTTCTTGTCAATACTGCTTTGCAATGGTGTGAAAGAATATCCAATGTATTGGGGAAAGGGGAGCGCGGGGGAGAGCGGGGGGGGGGGGGGGGTGTTCGGCAAATAAACACGGCGAAAAACACACCGCGACATGGATCGCTTTTGTGCACACACACACACACACTCACATTAGCTGAAACCATGGGGCCCGGTGCCAGAAAGATCTAGTCAGACAAACACCTCACCAGAGACTCCTCTAAGCGTCCTAACAAATTGAATGTGTGTGTAGATGGACGAGGGGGAATTAGATCAGTGGTCCTGATTGTATCCGAGTGTGCTGTTGCGGTACCCCTTTCCAGCTAGTCCCCTGGAGGAAATGTGTGTGCATGAGAGAGCGAGTGAGGGAGAGAGAGGGGACTGGGGGGAGGAGCGCTTGGCAGCTGGTTTGATGAAGGATGTAAGGAGAATGTTAACCAGACAATCACCTTGCATGTTATTGATTGAGATGGTAGCGAGGTAATTAGAACAGAAAAGGCCATTTTTAATGCTTTGATACAAGGTGTTCTCTCTTTGTACCCGTCTACGTGCTGTGTTCTTTGTGTGTGCGTGTGTATGCACATAAAGGGAAATGTCCTGTCAAAGATGCGATATCCCTTTTTTTCGTAGACCCACGGCAGAACGCAGGAAGCTTTGAATACTATATAGAATGTAAATGCACGTTACATTTTGTATCACATGTGGGAGGCGAGCAATTCACCGTCCTTCCATTAATATAGAGGACATAACAGTAGCTCCAACGAGTAGCATGCCCGAAATGTGAGATAATCATTCAACCTCATCCATATGGCACGCTTCCTCTGCAGACTGATGAAACTATGTCATATTTCCAACCAGACGGTACTCGGACAGCTTTAAAATGTACCCGCCGCCTTCCTCTAGTGCCTTACATCTCCAGTTAGCAGACCTTATCGTAGTCCTAATGTTCTTGGAAGTGCGTTAGATATAAAGGCTTAAGGAGCTTAATATATGGCCTAGCATGGAGTCTGTACCAAAGCAACACTCAACTTGCTTTGACGCTTTCGCATAATGACAAGAGGCCACCAGACAGTTGATAAACCTTAATAATTATATATATATATATATATATATGACAAAATGAATATACATACCATACATTGTCTTACTCTTTATAAATCAACAATATCTCTCTATTTGGAAGTTCATTCTATAGACTATTGTACCTTATTTACATCAAAACTATAAAACAAGTTCCATTGTGAATCAATGTTTAGAAGCCGCTCTGATGTCCAAATCATACTCGATTTTTGAAGCCGATATTTATTATTTTTCACATTATTGATAAGAAACCCTTGATATCGTATGATTAAACAAATAGTCAGTAGTACTTACCAAGAAGTCTAAGTCTTTGGTATTTCTGTACTGTTATTTTGAGTTACTTATGCCGCATTTCTGGGAAGCCAATTGATTTGGATGATTGACTGCGCTGCAATACCAACACTGTGCACAGAACAGCTATCTCAATATTGACAATAGCGATAATTCATCTGTGACATTAAGAAAAGTCTCACCAATTTAAATTTCACCCCAGTTAAGTTTTGAGTGATTGTCTAACTGAAAAAAAAAACTACGACGAATGACAGAAGAAGGAAACGTTGGCTTTGAGCCTCCCTCTTCGGTTAATAGACCAACTTGGCCAACAGGCCGTGCATTCACCTTTGACACCCACTTGCAGGAATAGTAGACTATAAAAAAATAAATAATTCTCCCATTGAGCACGGCATGAGTAGGAGCCGACTGTGAACCCTGAGCTGTAATTGTCGTGTAAACGTAGAAATCAGTCGGCAGTGACAGCAAGTGGATGACGCCAAAGTAAACAAAGCCCTTTTGCCTTCGTTACCACCTGACAGGCTTCATACGCTGCCGCAGACATTCAGGCTGATTCTCAGCTGTGGTCTTTGAACCTGAGTTTACGCTACTTCCGATCTTCAAATCTTTGCTCGATCGCGGTTCGTATTATTTTTGGACACCACTCGATCCCTTTTTTTTTCCCAACGCTTTCCACTTTTTTCCCCACCGGAGAAGGGGGGACGAGTGTTTCGGGGGCCCTACTTAATTTCGACATCCTGCTCTGTGTCCCTCCGCTTATTGAGTTTAAATAATCTCCTCTGTGATTCTGTCCTTGACGTCCCTTTAAGCCCGGTGAAGCTATAAATCAGTTGAGTGCAAAGCCTCCCTAACGTCTTTACGGCCGGCCTCGCGGTGCCGCTACTGTACACAAGGGAAGGGGGGTCGGGGGGGTCGTAAAAACAAAGGAATGCTTCACAATGTAAATCAGCCGCCGGCACTGCCGAGACATCTGCCTCGGCTTTGTTGTTGACGTTGGAAAACTATGTCTCTGTTGATTCTTGTCTCAAAACCCTGGTTTGTGTCCGTGTGTCCCTTTCTTACAGCTCGCCGCTGAGACAACCGTCCTCGACGGCCAAAGTGTGCCTGGTCTGCGGGGACGAGGCGTCGGGGTGCCACTACGGCGTGGTGACGTGCGGGAGCTGCAAGGTGTTCTTCAAAAGGGCCGTGGAAGGTGCGTCGGTTTATCATGCTGATATCGCTTTTTTGAGGTGAACTAAAAAAAAAAAAAAAGATGGAATCAGCCCTAAGTAGTCGGGACTAAAGCGAGCCGAGTAGCCAATAGTCCCTGGTGTCAAGCGCACTCTGGGACACCATATTTTTCTCCCACTAAACCCTAAACAGAGAAGAAAATCCCTCTTTTACGTCATTGTTTACAGATAAGTGACATATGTTATCGACACTCCTGAGACTAAATCTTGGGAAACTCAACAGGAAGAAGCAACTGCTACTTTTATTCATTAGTGTTGCATGATGTTTTTTATTTGTCATGATTCGGATATTCGCTTTTTTTCCTGAGCACACATGAAGCAGCCTGTTCTTTTGCACCGTGTTGATTATTATTATTTGTAAGTTATAAAGAAGACCTATTTATTTTTCTTATTTGGAAACCAAAAACATTCGGCGCGCTCTATTTATAGACTGTGACCGAGGCACATGAGAAAAGGGAAAAGCCATTCAGGAGGTAATTCTCCTGCTAGCAGCCCTTTAAGTTATATTTAGCTGAGGGAAAATCACAAGCTGCCATAATGTGCTTTTCATTTTGTTCCTGAGGCGTTGGCTTCACTCATTAAAATGAGTGTTTGAAGGCCAAACGCACTCTCACAGACCCGGTCGGTGCAGGCAGGAAAGGAAATAAGCAAACAAGCCTGCCGGCCGGCCGCCCGCCGGGCCCTCAAGGTGTTTTTCCAGCCGTTGGAGGAATTACACTTATTCCCAATCAAATCAGGCCTTTAATTAGATGATATTTACAAACTCTCATTACAGAGACTTGAAAACCGGATTATGTGTCAGGGGGTTATCGAATCAGACGTGCCATATAGTTCTTGCTTGCAGCTCGGCCGAGCAGACAGCCGGCGGCGGATGCTGAACATGTGACTTCAGGTCAGGTGAGGCTCTGGAGAGCTCGCGTCTCTCCGGCCTTTTGCGGTATTGCCTCTTCCCTCTGCCGGTCCGTTTTTTTTTTTTTTTTCGCGTAATTATACCAAAATCATTTCAGCGATTTATGCGACGCCCCTCATATCAAATGCACTGCTCTTTACTTTATGAGCATCCGTTGTGTTTTAGTTGGGAATTTTCTCTTGAAAAACGCAACTATGCAAACCATCAAGGCGTAATGAGGGCAAACGGCACCGCGGTGTGATGTCATTGAGGTTGTGCGCGACTCGCGTGCCCTTCCGATGTGCAAAGCGGGCTGTTACCTTACTTGACCCCCCCCCCCCCCCCCCCCCCCTGGCTAATCCCACAAGAGGTTCTGGTGGTGAGGTGTAAAAAGAGCTTCAAGGTGGAAGGGAGCAAAAGGGGAAAACAGTGAGGGAAGGATTTTGCAAAGTGAAGAGCGATAGAGGACAGTGAAACAGATACAGTGAGGGAGGGGGGAGGGGAGGGGAGGAAGGAAGGACAAAGAAAAAGTCAGACGCAGACAGAGAGATAAAGAGAGGAGCAGCCGGGAGAGGGAGCAAGACGCGGGGGAGAGGGATGAGAAAAAAAACGCTGCGTCAGCAGTGAGCGACGGAGAGGCGCGAATTAGGACGTGAGAAGGCGCTTTGCGCCTCCCCAGGTTGAGGAAACACTCACCATGTGAGATGTAAGAGATGACTGCAGACAGCGGGCATCTGTAGAAGGGGAAAAATCCAGCCCGTGCTTAATTTCCTTTGGCACCTCCTGCCCCGGGGGGATAAAACTTTTCAGTCGGCTGTAGCTCATTAGACGACTAAACTGGCTCACAGCCTTTTACTACAGAGCCGGTTAGCGTTCCAGAGTCGTCAACAACTCCGGTGGAATCCTACCGACTGCGGAGGGTCTTGTTTCCCGCATCAGACACGTCGTGGTTAGGTTTTTTATGTCACCTCGCCGGAGCTCGGCGCGGTTATTCTGTGGGGGCTTTACGTTTAGACCACCGATAGGTCACATGGGCCTCCCGCTGTCCTCCTCAGGAGGACACACATTCGTTCCACTGGTCGGCTGTGCGCTGTGAGGTTTATTACCGAGGTTATGCAGGGATGCGGAGTAATGTGCAGAATTCCGACTTTGCACTTTTCAAAAGGCCCCTCAATTCATTCTGTAAGCTTCCTCACTCACGTCCACTTATTCCATAAAAGAAACGTCACCCACCTGCTCTCCTACTCACTGCGAGGCATCCGGGTGATCGGATACAGGACGGCAGCTACTTCACCTTCAACACCAACTGAACAAACATAGAGGAAGTTTAAGGACTTTCATGAAGCCTAAATGTTTTGCAGTCGTATTGCTGCTGTTAACTCACAGCTGTCACACGCAGCCAATTTACTGGCTCCACTGGAACAAACGAGGCCCCTCAGTTCAACGCTCATCCCGCTGCCGGGGAAATGCTTTCCGACGCTTAACGGCAAAGTTTGTAAATATGTGTTATCATCGCTAATGAAATGTGGAAACAGAGGAAAGTAATTTGTGCTTCTCCCTTGGACCCGGTTTACTGGGACCGGTTTGTTGATACAAGACAGCTGCACTCGATGAAGGGCTCCAAGCGGGGCGCATTTTAGAGCTGAACGCGAGCTTATTATTCACATGTCATCAGTGGCTCGGCACGCCTGCTCCGCGCAACGACACCGGACCCTGCTTTCAGCTCACTAGCTGCATTTGTTTTTTGTTGTTGTTGTTGTTGTTGTTCTCTTATTGAACTGACGGGTTTTGCAGAGGCGTTAGTCAACCTCGCCGCGGCCTCGGCGCGACTGGGCCGTGGGTTTCCAAGGCGCTGGTGTCAATCCAGAGACGCGTTCCTCGGGCGCCGCCTCTCTGGGAGAGGTCACCCGAGGACACACGCGGTCTCGCACGGTTCCTCCTGCGACTGGCAGCTCGGCCGTCCAATCGCCGTCCCTCTCAGCTCGGGCCGGTGGGGGGAGGGGGATAGAAGGCCTCCCTCCCGTGCCGGAGTGAATGCTTCGGATTGTGTGCGAAAAAGGCTTGTGTAACAACGGCTGGACCGAAGCCATTTAGCAGCCCCGTTTCCAGCTCCACAACACTCACGCCACGGCCTCTTTGGAAGGAAACGGCGTGCGACGCGCGTACAGACCCAGTCGCAGGCACACGTGCATACGCAACATACACAACACATGCACTCCTTCATTAAGCATTCCAGATGCGCAGCATTAGGCAGAAATTAAATCTTCAAAGCTCACTGTAAATATGTGTGTGACCCACATAGCTAATAGGCATTTAGGTTGGAGAATGCAGCCTGAGGAAGGGTCCCTCTAAAAGCAACCTAGATACATTTACCGTCCCAATGTGGAACTGGGAGCTCTTTATTTTCTGCATCCTCTCCGCTTTAAAAATAGACACACATGTGCATACAATAAATTACGGCTACAAGAACTATTCTGTAGAACGTCTATGTGCCAGCGGCTTTTTTCAAAATTCCCTTTTACATTTTTCAGCCTATGAAATATTATAATGATGAATAGAGAACAATTGCCCCTAACATTTTTTCTGTATTTAAGTTGGCACCTCAAAATTGCTTGTTTTTTCCTCACAAAGAATCCAAAACACAGATTCATTCAAATCCCAATGAACAGAAACTCAGCTAATTCTTAAACTGTTTGAGGCTATTTTTCTCTTGATAAATTACATAATACCTAATACCTTCTTCTTCAAATAAATCATCCGCTAATTGACACATTATTTCCACAGAAAATGACAGAAATGACACCTCAGAAAAAGGTACCACAGGCTTATATGAAGACATAAATACCTCAGGCAATGTTTCCTTTGGAGGCCTATAATGTGAAAACACTTGATAGATATGGTACAGATGAAAGTCAAATATGTTTTTAAACTGTGGTTATAAAGAGCGGGACAGGAAGATTGGTTCAAATCCAGGTAAAGGTTCAGGTTGCACTGTAGGTGCCATATAACAGATTTGGGATTCAAACTGCCGTTAACATGATTACTGGCTGTTTGTATACACACAAAAAAACTCCAAATACCATACTGAGGAGTAAACAATGACTCACCGCATTATGTAAAATGACAGCAGATGGTAAAAATAGATGTCAAAAGGCACAACGCTTATAAAAAATACCGAAAAAAATTACACAAAAAAGAAAACAATTAAGTTAAGAGTTTGGTAAACAAAAGAACAGCTTCTATGACATTCTAATTTTAACTTCTGATGATCCAGGCAAAGGCATTTAATTGTGCAGAGCTGCATCCAATCCAGCTGTTTTTGTGTTTTGCGACTTGCTCACTGCTGGCCAGGCGGTAACGACAATTACATATCCGAGTCCAGTTTTGGTTCTTTGGTTCTGGTGTTTCTGTTGGCCGCCTAATTTGGGTCACCATAACAGCCCATGAATCACAGAATTGAAAACAAATGTGTGGTATAGATCATTAAACTGCAATAATCTATTAGAGTGAGATTTTGACGTTTTCAGCACATCCCTTAGTTACATGTCATCTTAGGACTGCAAGACGGGCTTAACACTAAGAAATCTGCACTCACTATGAATGATAAATATTAATTTGGATCAGCTAGAAAATGTCAGGTTGAAGGCTGCATCTTAGCAAAGCCACAAGTCTGTCTGAATATTATTTGTAAAGCAGATGCACTGTAGCTGAGCCGGGGGGGGGGGGGACTCTACATTTAGGATTACACTTGTTAAAGCGGGGTCTCCGTAGGAAGGAGTAGTTCTTTTCGGAAGGATGTCCTCATAATTGAGGGTGCCGGAGCTGACAGACAGCAGGGACTACTCAGCGGGTCGTTGCCAGATTGTGAGATCATTAGCTAAAAGTAGACCTGAGTGGATTCCATTTAAAAGACTCTTAGGGTTGCCATGTGACGGAGGATGCTGACAGTGTGCATTGTACCAGCAGACAGGCGTTTTTTTAAAAGGATTTTCAAGTTTAATACGGTATCTGAGGAATTGTTTATTTATCACTAAAAGAATATGTTACTATAATAAAACACAAGTTCAATTAAAAAGTAGCACTCGTCAGTAACCACGCACCCGGTTGATAAGCAAATGCAGATATTCAGAGGTAAACATCCCGGTCGAGGGCATGTGAGGGCATGCACACACAGTGCACTCCTCTGCACACACTCAGTGGCGCATGCACACACACACACACACACACACGCACACACACACCATCGGACTACGACTCCGCCTGTCTCATAAAGTGGATTTCACTCCAACAGTTATTAACAAGATTCACGGGAATGAGCTAAACAGTTGACAGGAAAGGCTCCACAGAGTTTTCCGAATTGCCAATTGGTCCGGCCCTTCCAAGCAAGAGTATGCGTGCGTGCACGTGCGCAAAGGGGGGTGGGGTGAGGGGGGGCGAGGGAGGGGGGATGGCAGCGTTGTGTTTCCTGTGTCGCAGTTTACTGATTTTTAGAGCAAGAAAAATGGGCTTATGTAACGGTCATGTGATTTAGCCAGAAATAGTGGTGGGGCTACAGCTGCTGCCTCTCCCCCTGCAGCTCGGTTCCTTGGCTTTTGGCAGCAGTCAGACAGACACACTGTGCACTGCTCCTGCTAGCTCAGAAAACAACTTCTGCTCAGTCCTACACACACAAATACAAATACTGTACTGCAGACGAACAACAAACGCGACGCGCAGGATGTGCATGCAAACAACACGCCGGCATTGGTGCCAGAAAATCCCGGGTACTTCTGAAGAAGAAGCGGAGGGTGCAAGACGAACAGGGACGCAGCTATACATTGACCTGTGTGTTACTGTGTGTGTGTGTGTGTGTGTGTGTGTGTGTGTGCGCATCATCACCTAACACATACCATCTGAGATGAGCATCAAAACCAATAGAGACAAGGCCCGTACTGGGGTCACTTGGGTCAATACACCCCTCCATCTGGGTGGTGTTGTGAATTCCATGTGTGTGTATTTGTTTGTGAAAGCAGCTACAACATTCACAGTTTTGTTTTTTTCTAAATCGCCAAGTGGAGCAGCTTTGGCAGTGTGTGTGTGTGTGTGTGTGTGTGTGTGTGTGTGTGTGTGTGTGTGTGTATGGGAGTGAGCGAGTGAATGACTGTATGTGTGCACGAGTATGAGCCTGCCTGTGTGTGGGCGTATGGCGCTCTGAGGCTGGCGGACGTGTGGGAAAAAAAAGGGAGAAAAAAATAAATAAAAGTGGGATGGAGTCACAAGCGTAGAGAAGGAGAAGAGTGGAGGAGGAGGAGGAGGAGGAGGAGGAGAGGAGCGGTACAGTGAAGGGCCAGTGGAGCGGAAGGAAGCGCTCTGAAATGGGAGATCATTGGCTCTAGCTGAGGGCCAGGCGGGCGGCGGGAGGCAGGAGGGATTCTCGCCATGTTAGCATCACTGTCAGGAATAATCCAACTGCAGCCAGCGTCCGGGGGTCCAGCCAATATTAATACCCTCACGCCATATACTGTAAAATACACCATTAGTCATGCGCTCTGGAACGCGAGAGCCGAGCAATCGCGATCTCAATCATTTTCACGGTGAAATTCGAGGAAATGCAGATCTGGGATGTTGCCAGACATTCCACGGGTTTCTGCGTTGACCTACATTACAAAACAGTCTCCGCAGTAGAATCCTCACGTTTGTTTAATCACATTCGTACAAGTATTTGTTTGCGCGGCGCATTAGTCCACATGTCGAGTTCCCCCCCCTCAGTTCTGACGCTGTTTTCATTACCTTGTCCTCCTGTAGGTCAGCACAACTACCTGTGTGCCGGCAGAAATGACTGCATCATCGACAAGATCCGAAGGAAAAACTGTCCGGCGTGCCGCGTACGGAAGTGTCTCCAGGCCGGGATGAACCTCGGAGGTGAGGAGTCGCACCCTCGTGTCACGTGTCACGTGTCTCGGACGTGACATTTGAGTCGGGCCCTTGAATAGACGAGGATAGAAAAAGGAGGTCTGGGTGCAGCCGTAGGAGAAGACCCAAGGCTGCTGAGTCACGGGGGTGTTTGTGTGCATCGGTGCGCACGTAAGTAGCCTATATGTGAGCACAGCGTGCCGTATGCATCCACAGCGGGTGTGGATCTACAGTATTGCAGGTTGCAGTATTGTATTATGAGGCAAGACCAGGTTGAAAGGGGATTTGAAATTAAATTAGTTCAAGTATTGCCACTAGCTCGTTCCAGTTCAGGGTGGCAGTAGAATGCACCATGCTAAAAGGCTACTTGATCCATTAGTCCATTAGAGTAAAGGACATTAGAAATGAGAAAAACTAAAATAAAGGCGGCCAAAGGGGGAACGTGCACAGCTGCTGCTGTTACTGAGAGTAGTTGACTGCTTAGTCAAATATTTGTCTTCTGAAGGAATGGCGTCGATCTACAGCGCTGGGGAGAGGAGTTAACATGACATTCCTAGAGGATTCCTATGGAAAGGGCCTCAGACGTTCTTTCCAGGCAAGGTTCCTCAACTTCAACGTCTAAACCCATTTGCAGTTCAGTTTTTTCATACTGATCATCACCTAATTATCCGCCACGCTAAATATCCTCTCACCCCGAGGCGCGCGACGCCGCAATACAGTTGCACCACATGTGTGTCATTGAATGTTAGATGTTATCTAACTGGATGTGCCGCGAGATGAAAGCAGTGGATAGCGTAGATCTTAATCCTAAATATTTCAGCACTTCTGACAGATGCTATAATCTAAAGTTCTTTACTAGTACCAGGCTTCTGCTTTAAATGCACTAGAAATTTCTGCTGTCACGTCAAATTAAGTTTAATGCGCCCAATGTCACATAAAAGATGTAAAGGGCTTTTACAGGCTCACAACAGCGACGACTCTGACGCTCTGAATCTCGAGTCCTTTGTGAAGCAAGGATTTAGTAAACGGCTGCAGGAAAACGCTTCTCCTTTTCCTTCTTCCCCTCACGGTAGTTTTTTCCCCCAGATGATTTTAATGAGCTTCATTTAACAACATTTAGACACTTGTGGTTAAAGGTTAAATGCAAAAGGACAACCTAGGTTCCATTCATCAGGGGACGGGTTTTTATCATTTATAGTCAACAAAACTAATATGGAATGGATGTATTGTTGATTTAATAACAGAGTCCATTATTCATCACCATTCTCCTCCAGCATGTCCGGTGCTCGGACTCAGTGACAGTGATAGACTGACTCACAGGGCAACACGGTGGATCAGGATGTGATGTGCTATACGAGCAGCAGTATTGAAGTGTGCGCTTGTATCAGTGCACACGCTGCACCTGCATAGCAGAACAGAGCGGAACACAAGCCACAAAAGACTGACACTGTTCCCTCCATCATGTAACATATAGAGTCTAAACCTTGCACAACAAAAAAAAAGATTCATTTAAACCCAACAATCCAGCTTGTTTGAATCAGATAGAGACGGGTGTCTTTAGCAGCAGGTAATTATTAACTTCAGCTTATTACAGGCACAAAAACATGACCCAGAGTAAACACATCTCTTCAGTGAGATGTTACATACTGTTGAAAATCAACAGATGTTCAGGAATATTAGCTGAAGGTTGCCGATCAGCAAGAGGGTAACCCAATAAATGTAAGCGTGTCTGCGTAGATCTGATTAGACAACTAAACAAAGCTGCAAGATTCTCAAATGGTAAAAAGAATTCAAATAGTATACTTACTTTCAAAATAAAAGCCTCATAATTGCATGGCCTCAATGTCAATGTGTCCTTCTGGTTAACAGGCTATCAATTAATGACATTTTTTCCAGGTATTGTATCTGAGTTAGCACATCCAGTGTAGTGAGAACATTCACTTCACAATACACTTTAAGGTAAATACTCTAATAAATACATTGTTTGCTATTTTTAATTCAAACCTTTTGGCTCTCTGCATTTATTTATTTAGTGATTTAGATTATCATCAAAATTGAATTGCTGACTATACATATAGATAAACTTATAAGTCATGATATAAAACTATAGGTTAAGGTAATAGATACGTAATATATACATAGTCCCAACAGGTATTAACGCACTTTGCAGAACCATTTACTAAATATTCTGTATTGATAATATGAATGTAAGAAATGCACCCGCCCCCCCTTCACCCACCTGCTGTCAGTGTGTTAATGAGGGCCGCTGTGTTTCCCCGCAGCACGAAAGTCCAAGAAGCTCGGGAAGCTGAAGGGTGTCAGTGAGGACCTGCCGGGCTCTAAGGATGGACCGACTGCCACCGGCGGCGCCGGAGGCGGATACCTGTCGTCGGAGAAGGAGCTCAACGCCGCCGCCGCCCTGGTGCCCCACGGGCCGGGCGGGGTCGCACCTTTTCTGCCGCCCTCCATCTGCAGCGTGCTGGAGCTGATCGAGCCCGAAGAGGTGTACTCCGGCTACGACAACACGCGGCCCGACACCACCGACCACCTGCTGTCCAGCCTCAACCGGCTGGCCGGGAAGCAGATGGTGCGCATGGTGAAGTGGGCCAAAGTGCTTCCAGGTTAGTGACCACGTGAGCATTGGGCCTACATGCAGTATCAAGAGGTTTTTTTTCCAGCACAATTGGAAAAGAGTTGGAAAAAGCGCCTGCAAAAGTGTGTGTTAGGAAAATAAGTGTGCGCGAATTACATTGTAAGTTTTGTTCATTAGATTTAAATTCATAGGATTGGAACAGCAATTTAATACTTTTTTTTCTATATTATGAATTCATTTTATTATTAAGAGTCAATACATTTGTATTTCTCTGTTTTACTTACGCACTTGTCAAAGGAAAAGTGTTTTATGAAGATTCCTATATCTTCACTTTCTATCTCTGCCTTTTAAGTAGGGAACACTGTTAGTTTTGTCATGACATAGAATTGTAATTTGAATATTAGGTCAGGAAATGATCCGGTAAAGCTTCAACAAGATTAGGAAGGGAATCCAATTTAACCATTAAAACAAATCAAGATTAAGACATTATCATATGTTATGTTGAACAGAAGACATTTCTATCGAATTCACTTTTACCTATAAACTACAGCACTGGGATCAAATAAAAAACAAATCTAGTTCCCCTAAAATCCCAGTCAGTCGGAGACATTGAAAGATGCCTCACAGGTGGCTCTTTGAGGCTTTTTAATTTGCTGTATTGCAAATATTTGATACCTCCACGGTGTCTGCTTGCCATATCCGGACATATAAATAGAAGGGGAGCCAGACAAAAGGGTCAGAATGAGTACCGTTGACTTTCAGATTTGCCCCCGCCTGCATCCAGCTCACATTTGGACAAGACGACATCGCTCATCCTTTTCTGATAGCATCAGTATCAAAACAACCTACTAACGAATACACATTGTCAAGCCAAACATTTAACATACCTTCATTTAGAAATATACATTATGCGTGCGTCCTCCTTCCTTCCCTCTCCGACTGCATTTGTGGAGCTTCGTAGGCGACACGCCAATAACTAGAGGCCTTGTGGGTTTTGCACGAAACAAGAATCGGTGAATACTTTGCAATTGCTTATCCAGTCTAAATAAATATTGAAACCAAAAAAATATATATAAATGTATATCCAATTGCAGCAAAGATTCACGCTGTGTTCTGCACGTGAGCGCACGCGCATCCCAACTGCTTTGAATCAACGCGGCTCGCTTTCTGCTCACCAGCTTTGTCCGTGTCTCCCGTGTGTGTCCTCTGTGTGTGTGTTAGGTTTCCGGGGCCTGCCCATCGAGGACCAAATCACCCTGATCCAGTACTCGTGGATGTGTCTGTCCTCCTTTTGCCTCAGCTGGCGCTCCTACAAACACACCAACGGACAGATGCTCTACTTCGCCCCTGACCTCATCTTCAACGAGTAGGTCCAACCCGCCGCCATGTTAAAGTGTGCCGGTCCTGACCTCTAGCTGGTTGTCCAGCTGTTAAATATTTGATGTCACACACGTTTTTTTATATTGTTTTTCTGAATTTATAAAAGACAAAGTACTGAGGAGAACGGAGAATATTTAGCAGCCGCATGTCTGTGAATAGAAATAAGTATAGTGTAAAATACATTTGATGTTGTGCGATGTCCTGCGGGATTCTCAACACACAAAAATTCACATGTAGAGAAGAATCATTTGTTTTTGTCGGCTGTATAATTACCAGATGCGGTAATTGGACAGTTGGTCTTTGCGTTTAGTTGTCTCTGGCTTTTTTTTAGCTGCTCATCACATGTACTGCATGCATCTATTTTACGAGTGGAATTTGGGTAGTAATGAGTGTATTTCCCCAACTTCCCATTTACATACCTGCAAACTGTTCAAAGGGACAATATGAGTTTTTGTGGTAATGACGTTGTTCTTAGTTTTGCAACGGATTTCTGGCGCTTCGCAGGGAAATCCGTTATGTACTTTTTGATGTTTCCTTGGTTGCAGCAGGTAAGGAAGTGTGACTTTTGTAGTGCATGATGACCGCTGAGGAGTTGAATGTTGCAGAATTAATACAAGAATGAGAATAGATGCCTCTGATGGGAGGAGGAGCTGGTTCAGTCAGGGACATCCGAGCTCGCGTAAGTCAATGTCAGTGGGTCAGTTTGTTCCAAATGATCAAATAAATGAACAGCAGCGCAAACGCCATTGTGCAACGCGCGGCTTCGCAGTCCGCCAGGTTGTGTGGTATCGCAGTGAGCGCAGTTGGTAAAGCGTTGGGTTGCCTCATCAGAAATCATCTGATCCTCTAATCAATTCAGTGCCAACTGGATCAGAGTCCTTTAAGAGTGACGTGTTTGCTCCTGTGAGATGACGACCGGCCTTTGGAGGAGATCCAATGTTGTCACGGAGACTTTATGGTTCGTGTCATTTGGTGAGTGAAGTCTGGAATACGTTTTAACACCGAAAAAAACAAATTTGCATTCACACGATGGATTAACACGGATGCTTTCCAGGGGAATTAAGAGGTCACATTGGTGAGTGTGATGCTTTCTCGGCAAGACTCGTCCTTACTGACGGATGGTCCTGGTACGCAGCTTGACAGAAGAGATTAGATATAGGCTGGTCTGCATGTCTCTTCGGGCCCGTTATCAGGTGTTTTGCTCGCTTGGTGTTGACATTGATACAAGTTGTTTATAATTCCGTCAGAAATGTACATGAAATAAGTCCAGTGAGCCTCAAAGAGGTTGGAGAGTGTTCACTTGTTTCCATAGCTACTCAGTACGTATGGACCAGGGAATAAAGCATTTATAGATATAATAGAAAGTTAAACCGGAAAAATGTGTCTGTGTAAAGGTATGAATTAACACATAGAAGTGATGCTCCTAAAGCAATGGCAAGTTTTACTCTACACGGAAAAGATAAAAGACGACATCTGTCTACCTCTTGATTTTCGGCCCATGCGTAAAGAGCTATTTTTGACACCTTGACCCGTTAGATCCATTCATTTTAATCTATATTCTAAACACAGATATCAATTTGCAACTGTTCTATCATTGGCTGCCAACGCGGACAGCAAGAAGCAGTGAGAAATGCACTTGTTATGTCTGTCTGCAGATAATTAACACTTTGAACAGCAAACGATTTTACCTGCGACTGTAAATGTCACCCAGCTCACAGGCCAGTCGCTGTGCTCCTTATTTTTCAAAATACCGCTGCTAACAAAACACTGTCCTTGGCTTGCAAACTGCAGTCACCGGTGCAAAAGGATTCCTGTACCAGCTCAGCTGTCAATCAAACACACTCAGCTGAAGGATGAAGTACAAATAATTGTCAACAAAACTATTATTTTGCCAAAGCGCTTGTATGTGAAGGGCACTGACCAATGATGATTTCAGTTTCAGACTCTTTAGTGAATGGTTTGTAGATAATTTTCTGAACAAACAAAATGTTGCTGGCTTCTTCTTCTTCTTCTTCTTCTTCTTCTTCTTCTTCCTCCCCCTTCCTGTGCTCCTCTCTGGACCCTTTACCTTTGAAACAGAGAAAGGGAGTCAGTTTGAGACCTAGAGGAACAAAGTCAGAGCCAGACACACAGATACAAAGAGAGGGAGATGGTGGGAAGGAGAGATTTCTGCCAGTTTTTTTCTTTCCTCCCCAAAACCAGCAGCTCATTTTAGCCAGTGATTCAGCAAAATAGAGAGAGAGAGAGGGGGACGGACGTGTGGGGACTTTAGAAACTCCAAGCCAGAGTTGTATCAAATAATGTTATGCTGCTCTCTGCAGAACTGCTCACATGCACAGTGCAGCTCGGCGGGGAAACCGCTCTTCCCCCCACACAGGCGTCGCCGCAGTTTATCGGCTCAGTCGGGCCGACGCATAAAGCCTCACAGCTTCACTTTGTATATTAAGTACACCTTTCCGAACGGCTGCTTCGGGACCCCTACCAAAACGAGGTTCTGTCCAGTTGTTGCCTCGCTCGCCTGCGTGATGGGGCCGTTTTGGTGAACTGTGGGTAGAACTCACTCACTTAACCTCTTGTCAAGTCAAACCGCACCGCTCGCATTTAATTACTGCCGTCACAAACGTGTCAGCGCCTTGCGGCCAAGAGAGGTGGCATCTGAAGACTGAGATTCCCATGAAGCCGTGGCGTCTGCAGAGCACTTTTCTGATTGGCTCCCTCTTCATTCCCACTAATGTTTGTTTCCTGTTTTTGTGATCTCCAAGATTACTGTGCTGGTTAAAATGTGTGCACGAGAGAGAGAGAGAGGGGGAGAAAATGTCATGCACGACAAGCACGCACAACTTGCAGAGGCCACTTGAGTCTTTTCAACGCGTCGATAAACAAAAACCTGCTTAGTGTCTCTTAGTAGTTAACATATGTTCATGTGTGTGTCATTTCATTCAACCTGAACACGCTAGATGATCTTTGGTGGGTACGTTTACGTAGGTCCGGTGTCTTTCCTCAGTGTTGGAAAGTGGTGCATCTGTGCTGTGGTAAAGTGTGTTGAGCTCTGCTATCTGAGGGGGGGATTTGGTATTCTGCCCTTCATCCCAGACTAGCAGCATCCTCCTCTGCACTGTGTGGAATATTGATATACTGTTTCACCGGCCCTGGAGTAAGTTACAGAAAATAATGACATAGAACCTGACACAGAGTGGATTGTATGTATGTATTGTAATACTAATAGATGTCATTCCCCTCTTCCCTCCCTCGCCATCTCCAGGGAGCGCATGCAGCAGTCGGCCATGTACGACCTGTGTCTGGGCATGAGGCAGGTGAGCCAGGAGTTTCTACGGCTGCAGCTGAGCTACGACGAGTTCCTCTCCATGAAGGTCCTTCTGCTTCTCAGCACAGGTGGGTGATCAGCTGCAGGCCCTGCAACCACGCTCACTCATTCATTCATTCGTTCTACACCCACTTGCTCACATTGCACCCCCCCCCACCCCCACCCCCACCCAAGCTCAAATGACTAAACGTATATCATATAAGGAAATGTAATTTAAAAAGATAATTTATTTAATTCCAAGCAAGGATGAATATAAATTGTAATGTTCCTGTTATTTCTCGCCAGAGGAGGATGCTCCTTTATTCCGATGCTGCACTCTAAAGTCGCACCTTCTTGGTGTGTCCCAAAAAATGGGTGCACTTAACCGGCATGTCGGTGGCGGTGACGATTGCCGTTTTGAGTCCACTTATTTTGTTAATTGGGAGCAGGAGAGAGCGGTTTTCAACCGGAGGATCGTATTCAATCACCTTGAAACTGCTTTGGCAAACTTGTGCCTTTTTGAAATCTGTTAGATTATCCTCCCTGGTAATCCGTTAACACCCATAACAAGCGGGGAAACAGACTTGATGCTGCGTGCACCCTGTTTGTTTAGCGAGACACGTCATATGCAGGTAGAGAAAAGGGAGCAGTGACTTGTTTTATTCCGTCCTTTGAGCAAAGGCCACTCTGTTGTACACGGTTTTTATTTTTTTGTAAACTGCCCATCGATCAACACAGTGCGTCTTTATCGCTCGCTAAAGAGGGTCTCGCCGCGCTGCCAAACTTGCGCCTACGGGCGCCGCAGCTTCACGCGCAGGGTGTGCTGGAGCGAGTAGCTCAGTCGGAAAACGGAGGCGCCGTTTTTTTTCCAGCCCCTCGACGCCCCGCGAGCTGCTGCCCTCAAGTTCAACAGCAACCTCGGCTCAAAACTGTGTGGCGGCGGTCCACACCCACTCGCAAGCTATTGAAACAGGAAACGCAGTGTCTTTCCGGAAATATTCACCGGCAGCGTTGTCACTGTTCAGTTTCCGAGGCCTTTAAGGTTCTTCTTCATCCCACTGCTTCATCCTCGCGTCAAGTTAGGTTCTGCCTACACGCCATCACCGTGGAAGAAGCTTCTAGTTCTTTTAGCATTACGAGCGGTTTAAAAATCAAAACAAACGGCTTTGTGATACAGTTTCAAAAAGGATCACACGGTTTCTAATCCTGAATCAGCATTGTTTCAGGTCATAAATCCTAACTGCTAAAGGGTATTATTTCGATAATGATGGTGAGTGGTGACCATTCAAAACAAAACAAACCCCATTTGATTTTGTGAAGTAGTTACAGTTGTACACATTCTGTCAGTGGATAAACATACAATCTACTCCTGACCGCTGGTATGAGGTCGGTCTGGCCTCACAGCTGCACGGAGGGAAGCATCGCAGACATGAACTCAATGTCGTTGAGTCGCGTGCAGCGGAGCTCCATCGGACGTTTGGAGACGTACGGGAAGGAAACCAAGAGGGGAAAAGTGAGATCAGACGAACGTTGACAGGGGGAGCTTGTGTTGCTGAGAAGGAGACAGGTGCATAGCTATAGGGAGAATACAAAGGGGCAGGGGAGTTGGCAGAGCGGGTCCACTCTCCTCTTCTCGCTGGTCCTCTGGAGACTTTCCAGAGACTCCTGCTGTACTTAATAAAGGCCAGTCGAGCGTCAGGCAACTCTCCAAGGCCTGCGATTTTCCTTTACTTCCTGCGAACCCGGGGCTGGAATTTTAAAAAGAAAGAAACTGGGATACGGCATCGAAATAGGGAATTTCAAACCTGCTCGCGTTATTGGATGTCAAAAAAAAAAGAAGAGATAAAATAATCATCCAGCGTTTTTTAATGTGCAGTATTTTTGCAGGCGGCGTAGGAAGCTCCCTTCATTGAAGTCATTCCGGGGTGATGCTTTGACCCCAGGAGCGGCCTAAATGTTTGCCGAAGAGTTGTCAGAACTTGTCAGCTGAGCAAGTGCAAGAGAGTCACTGAGTGTGTGTGTGTGTGTGTGTGTCTGTACGCCTTTGGGCTACTTTGAAAAAAAAAAAAAAATACATAGAAATACATAGAAAGACAGAGAGAGAGAGCGAGGGAGGCAGAGAGAAAGAGCGAGAGAGGCAGGAGAGAGAGAGCTGCTATTCCTCTCTGACCTTGGCTAAGGTTTCATTGAGCCTGTGGTGTCTCATGACCCGGTTTGGATCTGGTACAGGAGCGGCTCACCTATACGCAGAAAAGATCCGCTCCATTATCCCCAGCCTTCCTCTCACCGAACACACTCAATGCAGGCGGGGGCACGTGTCCAGTGTGTTAACCGAGGTGCACGTCACGTCATTTACAGTCGGATTGTTTGCGGAAGTACTGTAATTACTTTACTTTCAATCCCACCGGTCGTTACTCACTTAGGTGATTGTTTCTTTTAGCCGCTGCTTTCAGGCTCGGCGCTCATGGCAGAATTCTCAGTATTGAATCTAAACCAGAGATCTAAACCCTGTCCGTTCGGCACAAGCAACCCAGCATCGACGCGGCTAATGGCGCCTCCCAGGATCAATGCGTCGTGTTTGCCTCCTCACGCTTTACGTGCGTTAATAAAAACCAGCTTTTGGCAGCGCTGCACCCTCACCGGACGTCCGGTCGACGCCAGCGACGGAGGTGCAGGTGCCCTATTTTTGCGGTCGGTCATGCCAACGCCCCTTAATGGCGGGTCAGTTTGTAAACAGGGCGTATGTGGGTCAGCGGGAGGTAAACAAAAGGCGGCCCTGGGTGTCAGCTCACTCTCGTCACGCAGTCGTAGGTGCTTTGGTGGACCGCGTGTAAGTCATGCGCTAAGGGCTGCAAGTCTTCAATCCCAACATTGTTAATTTTATATGTTGATAATGTTATATATATATATATACACATATATATATATATACACACATATATATATACACACACATATATATATACACACACATATATATATACACATATATATATATATATATATATACACATATATATATATATATATACACATATATATATACACATATATATATATATATATATATATACACATATATATATATATATATATACACATATATACATATATACATATTATATGAAATAAACAAAATTGTAAAAAAAGAAAACCTCATATTAGGAACTTAAGTGCAAAATGATGAGATTTTAAAATATTAAATACAAATATCCATTTTACAATGTGGTTCTAGATATATAGTGCAATCACAATTTGATTCCATTGACATGCACTATTGTTATATTGAATAAACCCTCTTTACTTATTTACTTATACGGATTTATTGACCCACAATGACCTGTTCATCGCTTACCAGAACTACTCCGAACACGTCCACTCGGTTAGTGCTTGTTGTCAGTGTTGCTACTGGTACCAAAAATAGAACACTTATTTAGTTTTATTTAAAGGGAGTTTCCAAAACTCTGGTGAAAATGTATGAGACGTTCACAACCTTGTCTGTTTATCGCCCCACTGCTCATGGGTCAACAAACAGAAGTGGTTTTGTTAGATGCGGCTGCTTTGGTATGAACGGCGGTTGACAGTCACGTGACGTCGTGGGCCCGTCGTCATATCTGGCTGAAGGACAACAGAGGGCATTCCCTCAGACGGATCCGAGGTGTGCTCTCTGGGAGGCGAGGTGTCTTTAAATCTGGTAGCCAGCGGCTGAATGTCATCGAGGAAGCTTTGGCACGCGTCCACGTCTGTGACTTTGTTCTCCTGCGAAGGGGAGAGTGAAAGATGTTGCAGAGATTTCCGTGCGTCTAAACATCCTCCCACCGCGCTGCCTTTTTTTTTTTAACTTCAAATGCACCGACGCCACCGTCCGAATCACGGGGACGTGGATGGAGGTTGGAGTCGTTTTAACAGCTGCGCCCTTTGATGAAACTTCTTGATGAATGAGGTAGTGGCTGAGAAAATTGGTGTCAATGAGATAACTTTTAATCAAAGCCTTTCAGTCCATCGGATGTCTTTCATGAATCGGCAGCTACACATGAACTAATTAGTTCTTGAAGTGGTGAAAGTGGTCTTAATGAGTTGCTAAATAGGCAACGCAGGGAAAGTGTCCCCAGAATGAAAGGCTACCGCGTGGGAGTCCGACCGTGATTTACTGAGCACCTCTAATTAGCCGTTGCTACACTGCTACACATTAAAGGAACATATCGGCGCCTGTGCGTGGCTGGGACCGTTAACTGCAGACAGTGATGATAGTAGTGGGGATTTTCTAAAGTGCACCGTACGTTTTGGTTTATTGGTCCACATAATCAGACGTCGTTTGGTTTTCACTCCTTTCTGAATGAAAATCAAATCAAATCAGAGCTTTTGACGTTGAGGAACGTAAACCAACACAGTGAGCGTTTAGTAGCCTATTTTTTTTATATTACCATTTTGTTTCCAGGTTTGATAGCTTGAAAAGCTAATTTTGCCAAGAACAATCCTGTTTTAAAAAAGTTGTTTAAATCCCGTTTGGGGGGGTGGTTGAAGATGGATGGATGGATGGATGGATGTTTAAATCCCACTGATCATCAACGCAATGCTACAGCCAATTTCAGTCATCCGGATTAATCAATCAAAAACAATGCATGAAAAACATCTGAGCTACACGTGTAGTCCTTTCATGTGGACATAAAGACAACAATACAAAATGAAACAACTTTTCTATTAAATCTGCCTAGTAACCGTTTTTTTTTATTGCCAATATTGGGTCAATTGGAACCTGAGTCCACTCATCAAATCCCAGTTGATGACATAAGGATTTGTTTTGTCTTCCCAGTTCCCAAAGAGGGTCTGAAGAACCAGGCGGCGTTCGAGGAGATGAGGGTTAATTACATTAAGGAGCTCCGGCGTTCAGTGGGGAAAGCGACCAACAACTCGGGCCAAACCTGGCAGCGCTTCTTCCAGCTCACCAAGCTACTGGACGCCATGCACGATGTGAGTAGCCTTTCCCCCGTCGGCCTCCCGTGCCAGTGGCCCACTGGGGCACTGTGGCAGCCTCTCGGTATGACGCGGGATCTAATGGATTAGGAGAGTTTAGCGGTTGAACGTTGGTGTGGTTTAGAATAGAGATTATTGCATCCCAGAGGTCTCCTGAAGGGGAGGTTCATTTGGAAAAGCTAGCGAGCTACTGGGGAGCAGAGTAGAGTACTAAATCACTGTTCTTTTCCTAATGCCCGGGTCAACTGTATGTGACGTAACAACAGTGCAGGGGGAGTCTTCTAGGGAAAAATGAACAAGTGCTGAAAGTGCGACCTTTAAAAGAGGGTCATCCAGAGGGGTGAACTAGGAACTATTGTGAAGGGTCAGTCTCAACCCACTCGTATGAATACTCAGTAGTCGACTTAGAGTCTCACATTGTTATGAAACGTTTACAAAAACTATATCTGAAGCATGTTTCTCATTAAATTGTCTGTCTCTGATATCTAGCTAGTGGGGAACCTTCTGGACTTCTGTTTCTACACCTTTCGGGAGTCCCAGGCGCTGAAGGTGGACTTCCCCGAAATGTTGGTGGAGATCATCAGCGACCAGATACCAAAGGTGGAGTCGGGCCTCACTCACACGATCTACTTCCACAAGAAGTGACTCCCTTAACAGTCGGGTGAGAAGCAGCGTATTAAAAACAAAACAAAAAAAAGAGGAAGAAATGGGGAAGACGGTCAGAAAAAGAGAAAAATGTGCGAGAAAAGGCCCGAGAAGTCGGCCCGCACCTCCCCCTCGCCCACTAAGCCGGCGTCCTCGTCTGGGATGGGAAAGTTAAGCGACGCGGTGACAGAAGTAAAAACCGGGGATTTGACCCGGAGGTCACCACGAGCGGGTCGGGGCTGTGAATGCCGCGTGGGGCAAAGCGCCACACGCCCAGAAGGACTTGAGACACATGTGACAAAGCATCCTGAAGTACCCACCCCGTGTGTATCCCCCCCCCTGCCCCAAAGACAGTATTTTCTATGGAGTTAAGCCATACATTTCTTAGGATGCGCTATATACATTCACTGCGTGCACACACACACACACACACACACACGCACACACGGGGGGAATTCACTAAAATCAGAATCCCTGTTTTACTTTAGAAAGAACCTTTTGGCAAATATTACACGTGGCTTATGCAGTCTTTCACAAAAAAAAATATATGCCAACACTTAGATTTTGCTTGGCAGTGTAGCAGCGTACTGCAAGACAACGGGACAATTATGAGGAGACAGAAATTATAGACGGGCAGGCGAAAGGTCTTTTTGAAATATCATCCAAGGGCTATACAAGCGTCATCGTAGGCTAAACAATTATATTAAAATCTAACGAGTCCGAGTTTCAACTTCAGTCCGTCTCATAACAGCCATCACATTCACGTTCCGAGTTAAAAAAAAAGAAAAAAAAAAAAGTAGTAAAACAATCAAAACTAATATGCAAAAGTCCAAAGCTAAAGCGGTTTGGAAGAGAAAAAGGTTAAACGAGAAGCTCCCGTGTCATAAAGTCACACATTTTGTCATAAAGTCACACATTTTGAGACATTGAGGTGTAGAATTATGACAATTTTGATCGAACGATTTTACACAAAAGTGCAGGATGGAAAACATCACGCATTCACAAAAACGTGTTGGCTGGTAATGGATTTAACTGAGGTGCATACATAGTAATTGTGTTTTGTGTTATCTCCAGAGCAGCTGTCCAAATGTCTGTTTTTACTCACAATGAAGCAAAACCAACCCTTTGTGAACCAACACTTATCTACTCTTCCCAGAAATAATAAGACGCGTTTTTATAAAAGTGTGTTGCAAAGGTTTCGTTTTTGACAAGCCAGTCATTTTACATTAAGGTGCTTCATTTCTACAAAGCCGGGCAAAGCTTAACATGTACAGTAACTGTGCGGACGCGCCGTTTAAAAACCCCCACACATACTCTGTAAAGTTGATATAATCCAAAATGGAGCATTACTCTGCAGTGCTTTCAGCAAACAGCTAATGTATCAAAAACCAGGCAAATGTGTACAGGTATTAACGTCTTTAACGCATCCTATTTCAGCGGTTGTACAGAAATGGTCTTGAGGTACGCGGTGATGAATGCTAGATGAAGACCTGGATGATCAACCTTTCCCCGATTTGGTTTAATTGCTTACTCTTATCTCCGGGCCAAGCTACTACTACTTTAGGTTTCTGTCATCTGGACAATTAACCCGTCTCACACCCCACTGGCTCCCGGGTGGTCTGTGGAAGCGACGCTATGCTATGTATGATGCTACTGAAAAGCGATAAGAGCCGCTGGGGGGGGAGAAGCGGTGGTGGGGGCGTGTGATTTATCTGTCTTTCTGGGGCCCTGTGAGTGTGTATTTACGTTTGTGCACAGAGCGAGGACGGCCTAAGTTTGTGAGCGTGTGTTTTTTTTTTTCTTTCTTGTTTTCTGCCAAGCATGTGCGCGTCGCCGCTCGGCTATTTCAGCGTGGGTATTATGCATTTGTGTTGTAGGATTAGTCGTATCCTATTCCGACATTTTTTCAATTTGCACAGAGGAGATACAATGTGACGTGAGGCATTAGTGCAGCTAGCGGGAAACTGTCTGTTTTGATAAGCAACCGTGATGATGCAGGAAAACACTTTCTGCATGGTCACCCCCGCCTGAAAGGCGGACAACGTGACATCATTGGCGGGGTGCCGGGTGCTCGCGTGAAGTATTTGTGGCCTCGGCTCTGACGGTGGCGATGACGCCGCGCTACACTAGGAGGTCGCTTTTGTGTTGCGCCGATTGTGCGAAGGTCGGAGGACGAAACGGCGGACGTGGCACGATCGCAACTGTTGTTAAGGACTGTACGAAAGCTATTTGGAGGGGCCAGTGGGGCGGGCATGTATTTTAAATTTTGGCCCAAGGGAGGTTAGCTTATAGTCAAGGAAGCAGGGGGAGGGTGTTTCATTCATCCCCAGTGGAAAATATTGTGGTTCCCATGGTGATTTTTCTTATCAGATGACTCACTGGCTTTTATGAACCAACTGTTTAGCAGCTCTTTATTTAAAAAATAAGGACGGTCTGTATTTTCACTATTTTGATATGCATAGGATATGAATTTAGGGTTTCAGTCCCCGTCTCCCGCACTATAAGTTTCGTACAGTCTCTTGTGAGGAAGGCCTCATTTTACAGCCTGTATTTGTTGTGCTTTGTGTACACAAGTTGTGAAGGACCCTTAAGCTATTCTCTCACCCTTTTTTTTATTTTATTTTGCCCCTTTTTGAAGAATAAAAAAGGTTCATAGGATGAATGGGAAAGTATTTTTGAGAGAATTATATTTTGCTGGAAAACAATATTTAAGTACTTTGTCTAAAAACGATATCCTTTTTGTAAAATGAAATGTTAATGCATGCTTTTTGATGAGATGTTTACATTGTATTTAAAAAAGGGAAACTTGTGCCTTTTTATCTCACCTGATTTACAATTTTACAGTATATATTGTAAATAATACAGCAAGTCCTTATGTTGAGTATAGTATAAAACATTTCTACTTTAACCATCTTGTTGGAATATTGGAAAAATGTGTGTTTCCCACTCGCCATGGTCTGTGTGTTGGATCAGAACTTAGTTGAGCTGGCGCCAGAAAGGGCCAAACAGAGAAATGAATGTAACATACATTGTGAGAGACTTATGGAACTTACTACCTGAATGTTAGAGAGAGTACATTTATTATCTTCTTATTAAGTCAAATTACTTGATTTTTTGCATTTTTACTTTTTGCATCTTTGGTTAAGTGGCTAAAACAAAAGATAATAATAATCAAAAAGTATTTCTTATTTTGTAACGAGATGTATCAAGTGATGGATCCTTGAGTTGTTGCTGTTAAAATGATTTCCCACCCCGTGGCGGTATTGTTTATGAGCACCACAATAAAGTCAAGAAATCACAGACTATTTAAACCGTTGTACGGGAAAGAACGTTCTTAATGCACAAACAAAACTAAGTGAAATGATGTGGAGGCTCTGGACCTGAAGGTGTGCCGATTCATATTTGACTAGTTATTAATTGCCAATATATTGCAAATTTTGGCAAATATAAAACAAGTTTTAATCATAACAGAAACTAATTTGTCCCAAAGAACGGCAATGTTAAAACGTACACACATCACACAAAATATTTGGCTTTTAAAATATTTGGTAAATGCACTTTTCCCCTTTCTGAGAGCCCCTAAAACTCAGCAATTAACAAGCATCTTGTTTGTCAAACTCGAGGAAAGAGTGTGAAAATGACCAGCTGTAGCTTTATGGCGGTTCACGTGCTAGACTGTCGCAGACGGAACTCACTCCGCTCGAAGAAATAGTTTCTGCACAAAATCCTGCATCAAATAACAACTTTTAAGTGTGGGCTCCTGTTTTTGTACAAACTACATTTTTAACTCATTTTTGTTACTTAGTGCGCTTTAGAGGTGCTGTAGAGCTGTATCCCGGTTTCTCGGTCTTTATGCTAAGCTAGGCTAACTGTCACCGGCCCAGGTGGACGATAATCGAATTGAATCCTCAGCAAGAAGGTTGTTTCCCAAAAAGGTCAAAGATTCATGACTTATTGATGCATTAATGAACTGTAATTTCTTTTTTAAAATCACTAGCCCTCACAAAATGAAAAAAATGAGAAAAAAAACGACATTATCGGCATAGCAACAGGATTTTGAACGTTGTCTCCCTGAAAACTGAACTCCTTTTACTCATGAATGACTCAGAATGTGTTAAACTGCTGTTACACAATCGCATTATTGTATGTGAAGTCACGTCACGTCACAGTGAGGAATAGAGACACTAAGCCATATCTCCACGGCCATGGCAGTGCATCTCTTTCTAGTATCTAAACAAATGTTTTTGTTTTTCAATTCCAAAAATGACTTTTTACTGCTTTGTACAATATTTCTCAGCAACTATCCAGCAAACATACAGTAGACATCTTTCACCATAAACCAATAAAACCAGTTGCTACTGTACATCTTGATGCAGATATTGCCATACTTGTGTTTGCAAAACTATTGCAAGATTCTAATAAAAACTGTTAAATTGATTGTGTGTATGTATTTGTGTGTGTGTGTGTGTGTGATGAAAATTGTATCAAAAGACAGAAGCTAGAGAAAAGTGCCCTAAAAAAAGAAAAGCTGTTTGATGTGGTTGAATTCAAAACAGCTGCATTTGGCGTCTGGGGAGGATAATGAGAGTTAAGGTGGAAAAACATGGACGAAGCGAAGCAGCAGCACTCGCGGAGATGAAGAGAACAAAGAGGAACGGAACGAGAGTAAAAATGACAGATAGAGCAAGCGAGGACGAGGCTGCTACAGTAAAACGGGGCTTGTGGAGAAAAGAAATCACCATTAACCTTGTTAAAGGGTGATCTGAAAACACGCCTGCTTTGCCAGACTGTGGAGCAGACAGTAATACTTTTTATTTTTTCTCTCTCTCTCTCTCTCTCTCTCTCTCTGAATCCACAGCCTTCTCCAAATCTCCCCCAGATTTCCAATTGCTTTCACTTGTAGTCGTGCCAGATAAACAGAATCTATTGGATCAGGCCGATTTCACGGCTGCGCCCGCGCACATGGCGGCTTCTGTGGCCCAATCTGAGCTCAGGCTTTTTGTTTTTTTCTTTCTTTTTCTCCCTCCACAATCTCACATTTATGTTGGAAATTCACTTTTCCTCCCAATTTCCCGCTCAGCTTTCCCCCCTATAATACATCGAGCCTGACGAAACCAAGCGAAGACGCGGGAACGGATCCGATCCGCGTTACTTCCACGCGGAAATCCAAAACCCATTTGAAGCACTAAATTGTGTCTTTGGCTCGTCGTTAAAAGGTCTGAGCTGAGTCATGGCGTCGGACTGGGCTTGGGGGGGGGGGGGGGCTGAAGGACACTGCGTCATGGGAGCAACACAACCTCAGACTGCCACACACACACACACACCTGGACCAACCAAGTTCACTTTACAACAAAAGTGGAGCACTAACTAAGGAGGAAGCAGTGCAGGGGAGGAGGCTCCCTCCCTGACAGACAGGCCAAAGCAGAGTGAGAGGCAGGCGGAGTGGACGTCTCCATGATTCAGCAGTATTCTGGCCCCAGGGGGTGGATGGTGGCGATGATGATGAGGGGCGGGGCTGGGGGGGGGGGGTTAGGTTGGCCCGCCGCATTAGCAGCTCTGCCTCAATTCATTATGAAATCAGGCGGTCTGATTCGGGGGGGTGCTGCATGGCGGGTGCAACGCTCCGACCTTGTGGACAGACGGCGTGTGTTCATACCTCCAACTAGCGCAGGCGTGACCGTTATGTCACTGGGACCGGACCCCATTCGGTGATCAATTACAAAGGGACGCAGTCTAAGAATGAAACTGCGTAATGCCGATATGTAAATGAATGAGGAGGTGGACCATTGTGTTAGTTCATTTTTTTTTTCTCTTGCTATCGGCGTCGGCGAGATTGACAGGAAGGCTGACGTCACGGTCATCACACATCCCCACATGTACATTGAGAATGAAGAGAAGTCCATAATGTTCTTACTCTGATGAAATCAGTGCCTCAGATGAGATTGTTTTGATTCAAACCTTTAAATTATAAAATCATTTCATTCACATTTATTTTATTGTAAGAATACAGGTTTCAGTAAAGAACAAAAAAACAATCTTTATTTGTTTAACATTGATCAAGAGGATACCCCGAGGGTATGAAAGTGAAAGAAGCCACGGCCCTTTGAGAACGTCGTAAATCTGCTGCTGAACTGAAGCTCTCAGAAGAATTAAAGCGTCCCGTTGAGCAGCGGTGGGATGAATTGTAATGGGACGTGTCTGCGTGCTAAAAACCAATCCACATTAGAACTTGTCCGCCACTAAACGGGGACTCGTAAAACATACATGGCATTCGCAACTCTTTCAATATTTAGGTTATATACACTGAACGGATGTGACACATTAAAATACTGCATTGTCTGGTCCTACTGACAATAAAACTTGGGATTTCTAATCACTTACTTTCCCGCTGTTGGAGATAAAAAATAACAAAGCTAAAAGTTTTGTCAGCTTTGTAGGAGTGTCTCGTTTCTCTGCTCAAAAGGAAACTGAGCGAGGTTAAATATAAGCAATGAAAACCGATCATTTGACACGAAAACCCCCCCTCCCACTTGGTTTAAATCCTTACTACGTATTTAATTTCACCTCTGCCGACTCAGTCTGACACTAGTGTTCAACTCAAGAGGCCCATCGGTCGCCAAATAGTCGTTTTGTTGTGTTTCTGTAAAAGTGCACCAAGAACAAAACAGTACACCGTGTATTTAATATTCAAAAGTAATGAAAAATCAATGTGCCAATTAAATAAAATAATCAAATCGGGTGATGTGCCTCACTTTGGAAATCCAGATATTCCTTAAAATGACCAAAAAAAGTGAAACATTTTAAAAGTGAAAGCAGTAACACCGCTCATTCATTGACACACACACACATTTACACCAGGTGTACTGATGGCTAAGACTAAGGTAGGTGAAATATCTCCAACCTTCTAGAAGCTGAAAAACAAAACTGTGCATCATTGTCAAGGAGGTCTGAAGCCGCTGGAGCATCAGAGTGACTCGAGCGCTGCCGTTCTTCCTCACAGTCGGGAGGATCGCCGTTGGATGCCGTTGGGACTTGGGAGCTCATGGATACCATGTATAACTGAGGGAGAGCTTTTCTGCTGCAACACAGTGACCCGGACGTTTGGAGTCTGAGCTAAATTCAAACAGGGAAACGTGCGGCGTGGAGGTCTACTTGGCAGTGCATGTGTACCGGGGATCCACCGGGAATGACAGAATGACCCTTGCTTCAGAGGACTCAGGGATTTGGATAAATATTTGGACTCTTTGGTGAATGTCAGAGTTGAGGCACTTGCGTCTCAGAGGTGGGATGCGATAGCGGGTCCATGAGTGTCCCCCGTATGTGGCTACAGCATCTCCACGTAGTTTTCAGGGATGAGGCCCCGCTTTCCCTCCAGCTCGCCCTCCAGCCAGCCGGGCTCCCTCGACTGGGTCACTGCAGGAGAGGACACAGCGTCACCGGTGGGGGAGAAGGATGGGGGGGGAGGGGGAGGGTACAGCACAGGGAGGGTGAGGGGGACAGACAGAGGACATCGCACACAGCCCTCCGGTGAGTGCGCAGCATGTGCATGCATTAGAGTGAACGGAGCGCAGGTCTGAGGCGGATACAGTGACTGCGTGCCGACAGCGAACGGCGCCGGCTGCACATTTCGAGTGGACATTTTGTGTCCTGACGTTCTTTAAAAAGAGCTAAACGGCGCTCTCGGAAGCCGCTCAGCCTTCTGAAAATCCTCCCAGGATTCTTCATTCGCCTACAAACTGAGCCAATTTTGCATTTCGAGTGCGCTGGCAAAGCGGCAATTGCAAATAAACCATCGGTGAGAACTTCTAGGGCCAAATTGAGACAACTTACTCAATATTTCTTTTTTCCCCCCCCTTCATAATAACCTGTCTGCGCCGACCTCGGGACACAAAGAAGTGTGTTCAACGGCAGAGCCCTTCTGTGCCAATTTAATTCAAAATGAAAAAATTACTTAAAAGCCCAAACTTTCATACGCTTGAGATGAAAAGGATTCAGCAACCACCAAAATGGAAAAGCAGCATTTAAATCCCGCTTTGAATCCCTAAGTGACGGACGTGTCCTCCCACACAAAAGGCGACCACAAGGAAAGACAAATGCAGCCAAACCGTCGACAAACAAAGGCTACCTTTAGATGGAAGGATGATCTCCTCTCATTGTGATATTTCTAATGGGCACAGCTAAAAACATCAGCACTTAACCCCTTAGTATTGTACACGAGTAAGTCATGTCTACATTGCCTCACTAAACATTAAAAGTGAACTTGACTAAACAAATAGAAGTAAGTAAAGACCCTTTAAGGAAATAAAAGTGCTCATTGCGGTTTTCAGGGTCAGGGAGCATTGACATATGTAGATTTTGTCTTTGGACAGAGTGTATATACAGCAGCTTACTCAAATATTCACACCTCTTGACCTAGTCAACATTAATTATGCACATAGCTCAGACAATTTTTTTTTTTTAAATAACTGAATAGCGCAGCGAAATATGCAAAATGTCAAGGGTCCAAGAAATACTACAGATGTTAAGTCAAGAACAGCTGGACATTGTAACATTTATGCAACACCTCAAAACACTTTGTTTAAAACCTCAGTGTTGACGGACAGACGGAATTGAATACAACTAAACTTAAACCCCTGCAGCGACTGGATACTTACAGCGGAAATCTTAAACCATTGCGCATCGTTCAGTAACACAAAACGGTCAAACTCCAAACTCAATTTCATAGTGAGAAAATGCCCATTGTAACCGAATGCGTTCATTTATTATTAGGAATCCGATAACACAAGTTCAGAAATCCACTTCCTAATGATTTTAATGTTCATAAAAAAGGTAGAAATAATAAGGTGAGGTTTTCTCTAACCCATATCGGTTAGTGGCAGTCGTCACATTTGGATGTTTAGACCATTGCATCTTTGATGGAAAAGGTTATATATTTGCAGTAGAGGTTTAAAAACATTAAAAACACAACAAAAATTTGATTGCACCTTTTCAAGCAGAAAGAAAGAAAACAGCCAACAAACTGCAATGCATTGTGGGATTTTACCAAAGACGTGGCCACGTGTTTCCCAGTGAAGACTGCAGTATGCAGTATTTCTATAGAATTTCTGTCTTACAAAAAAAGGCAAAAAACAAAACAAGGGAACTACAAATCCTCATTTCCTCTGAGAGTGATTAAAGCTCAGTCGAGCATCTTCCAGACACACCGAGGAGCAAATCTATCTCTACCAACCCCCCCCAGACCCACTTCTCATCCTCCTCGTCTCATCTCTGTTCGATTGAAGATCAGATCGGGTGTTTTTCGGCTTTTCCTTCCAAATCCAATATGCCAGGGCTGGTTCTAAGTGAGCGACTGGTGTAGGCGATAACACTTACCGCCGTTGAATATTGCGCCGACCTGGAAGGAGAGCTCAGAGTCGTGCTCAGCCTCACATGGGTACACTGCCTTGGCTTTCCTGCTGGTGACACTGAAAAATGAAGGCAATCAGTGAGCTGGCGGAGCTTTGGGGAGGATTACCGCACAGTTCAATCTGGGCCCGGGGTCTTCCCGTTCATTCACTTCACTAGCCTGAAACAGCAGCAATGGGCCAGGCTGGAATATGAGCAAAAAGGTACTGATGGAGGCCGCTACACACTCTCGTCTTGCCCTATCTTCTGCCTAGACGGACCAGCGAGCGAGTCAGAACCAGCCCTTGCGCACAAACGGGACGAGGCCCGGCGTCCGCACGGCGGACAATGCACTCTGGCGAGATGATTAAAAAGCGTCGAGGGGATTCTGAAGTAGGTTTGCAAGCAAACAAGAGGTGGAACACAAAATTAACTCTACGGCGCTTCGGCGTTTAAATTCACATTTGTGAGCTCAGAAGCCGCATTTTGAATCGGCGCGATGTAAAAGAGCGCCATCAAAGCAGCCACATTCATCGCTGTGAAAACGCCAGTGAAAAAAAGCATGTTTATGCAGTAGCGCTTGCGAAAACATAAAAAAATAAACCTGTTCCACTGAAGGGTTGTTGTGCCCACCATTGCAAACCGTTATCTCGAATGCCAGCAACATTACCATGTAGAAAATGTGCCTTCAACACAAGATGCCCCGATAAATATTTCATATTCTTTCTGCGGAGCAGCAACAATGTAGGATGAGAGAGGAGAAACGAGGATATACAAACGGAAAAATAAGTTTGCGGTCACAGAGTTGTCAACACAACAATGTTCAGACTTGGAGAAATGCACTCTTGTGGAACCGCGTTTGGAAAAAAAATAAACAATAAAATGAGGATTTGTATTTCTATGAAAAACAACATTAATGGATTCCCCACAGAATGGCCCGACCTCTTTACAATTTTCCTCGGAAACATCTGAAAGCACTGAAAACGAATTGATCATTTGGTCTCAAGGAAGCACAGCAATAGATCAGCATAATGGGCAGACTGTATACACAGTCCACCCGGGACTCTCAGATAACCCTTTGTGTAGTCGAGGTTCGACTAAAAAAAAAAAAAACCAGGGGAGACGCTTGCCGTTAAGGCCGACCCTTTGCATCCGGACCCACTCAAACCAAAATGAAAGGCTGGTGAATGCACGACAAATCGAGGGAAAACACTCATGCACTTGACTGCAAGGGAGATGTTTGACGAGTGAGGGGCGTTGTTGATTTTGTTGTGGGGAACAGGCAAGATAAGACCAGCCAGCGAAAGGAGCGAAAGCGAGAGAGTGAACGGACGCCAGGGTGTGACGTCCGGTCGACACGGGAGCGTAAGAATGGCTGCGATTATGTTAGTGTGTTCTGTTGGGAGGAAAACAAGGCCCAAACAAACCGGTCTTACCTCTCCTCTGGCTTCTCCTCGTCAGAGGCAGCTGCGGTGGAGCCAGCTTGGGTCTCGGCCGAGGCGCCGGTAGCCGAACAGGAGGCTCCTGCTAAAGGGGCCCTGCAGATTAGATAAAAAAAAAAAAAGAAACACACACACCTTTATTCACCACAGATCCTACGGTGTCTATTGACTGAAAACGTGGCATAAGACCCGACTACCGCTGCGACTTGCAGCTCGAAAAAAACTAGAACGCGCACAGAAAGGCTGTGGAAGTGTTAAAAGGTGTTCAACATGAAAGGTTTTCAGCAAAGCAGATAAGGCGAGACGCTCTCCCCGATAAACAGACGCTGTGCTCTCCTGCAGCGGTAAATTGTTTACTCGTGGTAGCGACTACTGTAAGTGGTGGTATCAGAGCAACAGGTGAGCAAAACTGAGCAACCTGTTGTTATGGAGACAAGGCGAGGACACGTTTCTACACCAACGTACCGCACTCAAAACAATTACGAGCGCCGTCCACGAGCATCGTTTTAACAAGCTGCCTCTGCGTGTTCCGTCACAGACGTGACTGAAACCACCGTGGACGTCGGGCGGCTGAGGTCGCCGGCCGCGAAACATTGACGCGGAGAACAGAAGACATAAAACATAATTGCTATGACCGTGGTACGGGACCTCATTGAATAACCCTGCAGTAATGTATCACACTTTATTCACGTCACTCGACTGTCGCGGAGAGCTCGAGTCTCGTTGTGTTCTCTGCACATTTATCCCGATAACGAGGACACCGGGCTTTCGTAAACAAAAAATCCATTCTTCATCCGACGCCATCTGCCAAAGAGCCTTTCAGGAGGACTGGCTCTCGCAAATGGTCCAAATTAACTTAGAAGGTAGTCATCAAGAGGGACTTTGATATATATATTTATCTGAAGGTCTGAAATCTCGCTTCATGCTAAACAATGTATTTGATCATCGACATAAACGCTCAAGCCAACCAGTAAAAACTGGCCCAACCTCGACTGGTCAAAAGCACGAACAGACACGGCTGATCAAATATTCTCCGTCTTTAGAGGAAGGTTCACGTATGTTTTTCTGTTCCCACAACAGACAAAAGTAAAAATGATAATTCAAACCTGTGAGCATTTGCTACTTGACATTGAAAACGTTAAAACCCATTTTGGCGGATGACAGCGCTCTGGGGGCTCTGCGTCAACCATTCTTTAGCCACGCCGCCGTGTACGCTCACTTCTTACAGGGATCTCCAGAACGGAGTATGCGGAAAGTCAAACAACAACCCTTCCAACATAAGCCTCATCTTTTACAGTAGCAGCTGCGCTTCCCACTCGCCGGCATCAGGGCCGAACCACAGGACGGAGGCAGGGGTCCTGGTAAAGGCAGCGAGGAGCAGCAGCCTGAGCCAGGCATCCCTCTGTGTTTCATGCCTGCCCTGGGGCCAGTGCTAATACAGTACATAATGAGCAAATTGCTCCTAGCTGCCGCTCCCATAGAGACGTTAATAAAGGCAATTAGAGGAAGCAGCTGGGGAGGGGCTGGAGGTGGAGAGGATGTTGTGCATAGCGGTTACGTTGGCGCTGGTGGAAGAGCGAGGCGGCCCCAAGGGGGAGCGTGGCTGGGGATCTTATGTGGACACATAGGTGAGCACTCTGCACTGGGCTCACGCTTCATCTTCATCATCATCACCCCCCCCACCCGCCCTCCCTCCCTCCCTCCGCCTCAGTGAGCTTGTCCATCCCCAGCGGTGGCTGTTCCGTTCGGGCCTGGCCTGACTGTGGGTGATTTATAGCTCTGCAGCGGTGTGGGGGCCACTGTGGTGCTCAGCTGCTCCACATCAGCATGGGGGGATAGCGCGCTGCAGTGCAGCAAATCCACTCATTAACCTGGGCCCAGGCACCACCACTGTCTGCCTGGGTCACAGCCAAGAGAGAGAGAGAGGGAGGGAGGGAGGGGAGGGCGGGGGAAGGACAGGAGCTCCAACACTTCACCCACCTGCAGGTGAACCCACTCCGATGACGTCCATAAAATCAAGCGCATGCATGCGCGCAGTTGACACATGTAACTGCTTATTTGTACTGAAAGAAAGATCATTGAAATAAACAATATCTTAAACATTACAGAATAAACAGTGAAGGAGAACCAGTGAATGCCCCGTTGCTGCCCTAGAAGCCTGTTAATGGACTCACCCCAAAATTGCGCTCACAATTATAGCGAAGCTAAACCGCGGGAAATCTTTTGCCATTTCTCTTCACCAAAAATAACAGCACGCTTTGAATTGCTCATCCGCTGTTTTCACCCATCACCAGCCCAGCTAAGCCTCTTCTACAAACATGATTAAATACAGTAAATGGGACTTGCGTGAAGATGCACAGCATGCAAGGCCCTCGTGAAAACCCCTCTCAAGGTGTTAGGACAATTTAAAAAGAATATCAAGGTGTGAGGACTTGTTTTTTTAGGCATATACTATAAGACACTATGCTAAGAAAAATTATTATACATCATTCTATCAAATGTATCACACGACATCCCATTGCAAATTGAAGTGCCGGTGGAGATCATTTGGTTTATCTTTCCAACCATCAGGGGTCATCAAACATCCTTCTCACGCAGCTACACCAGAACACACCAGTGGTGGTGGAGAAATTCATCAACAAGAAAGGACTGCTGCTTCTCATTACTGCAGGAATTTCACCCGCAGCATCCAGGCCTTGTTGATCCTGGCGCGGAGCGACCGCCGGGATGAGCTGGGCTATAGACTGCCTTTCGACTTAAGAAGGACGGCCCGGCGGTGGGATTTAGTAGCGTTTCTAGTCAAAAAGTGGGATCAATCCGACAGCCGAGCGGCGCGCCCGGGCCACCGCCGCCGGTTTGGGTGGGCAGGAAATAACGTCTGATCCACCATTTTATGATCCACAGCTGTCCTGCCAGCGAGAGGCATGGAGGCCTGAAGGTGGGGCAAGAGGGAGGGGGGGGAGGGGGGCTAAAAGAAATGTAACCTCATTGGGCAGGACTCGAGGCAACACTCCCCACTGGGAGAAGCTGACTACATTTTAGGGAGAAGAGGAGAAATGAGGCGAGACATTGCAAATGACGGAGATGATAAATCATGGCACAGTCCACTAGAAGAGTCAGGGCGCGATATAGTGAGTCAGGATGCACTTGTGTATGACCTGGCAGATTTTTTGCTGCAGCTATCCGACAGCAAAATAGAAACGAAAAAATGCTGTTCTCCAGGTGCAATTCTGAACTCACCAGAGTGCAGATAACACACTTTTGAGAGGAGCTGGAAGAACTCTAGCAGGCGATTTCCCTACCGCTCTTTTTTTTTGTTGCCGAGGACTGAAGCCGCATCCCTGGGTTCCAGGCCAGAGAGGTGCTGTGCTAACAGGTCTCCACCATCTCACATGCTACGACGTATGAGTGAACAAAGCCAGGGCGACACCCTGTGACATATGGCGCAAGTCTTCATAAAAAAAGGGACAGGGGCTGCTTCTATAAGGGTAAACAAGATGAATATATCCCCAATGTCAATACGATTTGCACGGCCAACGCACGGCCACCTGTCTCCCAAACAAATAGGAGCTGAGATTTACGACCTCCTCCTGGGGGCTCCTTCCGTCGTCCAACATGATGCCACATATGTGGGAAAGTGAAAAAAAACACACCAGCAGGAGAAAAAAAAATAAAAAGGGAGTCGGTTACATAAGTGCAATACTGTAGAGCCTTGTCTATCTAATCCTGCAACTTGGAGACAACACTTGATACGGACAAGCCTACACACGCAGGTGGGCACATACCCACAGAGGTCAAAGTGAGAAAGGAATCACATTGTCCTCTGTCAAGTTGCGAGGTGGATTTGTTTTTATTTTACAGCTCTCGTCAGCTGATGGAGAACAAGAAGGCGACGGCGAACGAGGAGAAAAAAAAAAAGTCTGCAGCATAACCCAACAATTCATCTCTCACATCAGCATTCAAGACCAGCCACGGGATGGAAAGACAAGCGAAAGGGCCGAGGACTGAGAGAGGACGGCGGGAGAAGCCAGAGACGCAGAGCACCAAAATGCTGAAGGATTTTCTGTCTCGAATTCTTGCAAAAGACCAAAGAGCAAAAAATAATTAACATTGGGGCTGACACTGAAAGTTAATTCATTTCATTGTTGCATTTTCTGATTAACTTGAAACGATTCACAGGAGAATTGAGCTGATTACTGGCATGGGATCGGAGTCAAATGACAATGTACAAAAATCAGTTATTGTTCGTTCACAATACGAGTGACATGGTTTCTTCTCACTAAATACTTTTAACAAGCAGGGAGAAAAAATAACTGTTGGACAAAATGCAGTAAAGTGGCACTGCTGCTATTATGCTACAAATAACATTATTTATTTTTTTGAGTGTGCCGATTTGTTAATATAGGAAACTAAACTCCAACAATAAAATATTCTTAATAAGAAGAACAAAACTTTTACATTACTGAACCCACATAATCCCAATACGAGTAATGATAATAATTATAACGCCACAACAGAATAAAACCTCATGAAAAATAATTATCCCTTCAACGGAAAATGGCTTTACATGAAACGTTTAGTTTCCTGTGAAGTGAAAGTGCACTGGCTTGAAGTCAAAGCTCTGTAGCTTGGTTACAAACCGTTTGAGTCGCCGCCCACATCACCAAGATGTTCAGCAAATTCATAGTGAATGAGGAAGCTCAGTCTAGTCATCAGGCGAACAACCATATTTTGAAAGCAGAGACCAGTTAATAACAACATGATTCACTCGTTTGCGGTGAAAAAATTCCCATTGCAGTCCATACGGCGCGCACAGCGCACGTTTGGATTCATTGGTGACTGGATTTGCTTCAGGATCAGAACACCTGCATTTAAGTGGCCACACACACACACACACACACACACACACACACACACACACACACACACACACACACACACACACACACACACACACATCGATCTGGGACTCCAGCGTAGCGGTGCGCTCACCTGGAGTTGCTGCCTGAGCTGAGGCTGGCGCTGAGTGAGACGTGGTCACTCTTCTCTGCTGGCAGCTCCGAGGCCGACGCGGACGACGACTGGGACGATACGGACTCATTGCTGCCCATCGAGGTCTCATCGGCAGTGAGACTGGAACCATCTGCCACTGCTGACAAAACACAGTATTGTTTTAATGACCTACATCTCTTCAAAAATGTGATTTTTTTTTAAATTTCTTTACAGGATCCTGGCTTACGATAAATAAAAGGCAATGCTGCATTAGTTTGTATTGGAAGTTTGTATTTTTGATGATAACACGCCTCTGCTGTCATACACAGGAAACATTAGGGAGATACAAGTGCTTTTATTTCCACTTTACTGTCAATGAAAGATCCTGCTCTTGGGAGAAGGGAGAGATACAGAGAACTGTTAATGTTATAAAAAAAAAAGAAAGAAGTTTGCCCCAGAAAAAACATGAAAGAAAAAAAGCATTCAAACCAAAAGTCCATTTTAAACTGAATTGAGCTGCTGCTGAGGGCTGGGCCTAATTATTATCGAATGCCATAGCTTCATTTACGCATTAAAGATGGTCAATGGATGCATGGCATCATTACTTTATGTTGTGTAGAGTTTGTTTGAACAGTCTTTTTTTTTTTGTTTACCTTAAAAGGAATAACAGGATTCGCAAATTCACCTCGGCTCAGCTTCAAAGCCAGAAAGAGTGGAACTTTTGTTTTTCCCGTCTTGCAGTGAGATGAATAACCCAAACGCTGTGGACGTGTGCTTATGCCTCTAGGTGAGCTTGCCGCTTTCCTTTTATTTTTATTTTTTTTACTTTAATGCTTCCTCTGAATACAGAGTTTTTATCCTGGTGGATCTCGTCTCGGAAGCTTCTTAAAATGTTCCGCCACACTCCTATGGCTGCGGCTCCGTTATCTCGACCATTCTCGGTGCCCCCTTTAGCTCCCCGGGAAAGGCGCCACCAATACCGCAACTCTGGAAAAATACAAAGAGCTTTCGCTGCCGTGGATGGGCTTAAATCAGTTGTCCAACCCACGATCTTAACAGCCATAAAGTTTGTATTTCACATTAACCTGATTTTTTTTTCTCCTGTCCTTTACTTTACTAGCTCTTTTCCATAAAAATTATATAACCGCAACGCATTTGATTGAAATCTGAATATAATGTGAAAGGAGTGGTGATGAACAGACATGATGAAAAATATCACATGAATCTGCAGCTCCCATTGGCTCATTGCTTAGCTGTCCGGCTGACATAGTTACCGTTCGTTGCTTAGTTCCCCGATGTGTCTTCAGTGAAAACCAGCTCTTCACTAAATGGAGCCTTAAGCGACGTAAGAGGCAGACATTTGACAGACATGCACCCTCCCCGCCTGGCATGTAGTCACATATGTGTGTGCAAGACTTGCATACGAAACACTCGTCTCTTTCTCCCACTTCATCGTTTAGAGATGTGCTTTTATCTGCCAAAGAACGGGACAACTTACTTAAAAGCAATTAAGTGGGGCTCATATAAAAAGCGACAGAGGTTAAAAAAGGATTATGCCTTTCATCCCTGATATTAAAATACCCTGTGCTAAAACCTGGCGTGAGGGGGGAAAAGAGAGGCAATCCGGTAAGCAGATTTAGATTCCTACTGTGCAGAGGGGGGTGGGGAGGGGTGGTGCGGGGGCTTGGATCACAGATTGCAGTGGCCAGACTGTCCGGGTCACCAGGTCGGGTGATCAGCTTACCTGGCGCACAGGAGAACGGCCACCAACTTTCTCATTTCATCACTTAACAGAGGATTGTGATCACAGTTTTAAGCATGTTAAAGAAATGGACACACAAAGGCAAATCTCTCCACACAGCAGCACAGCGATGAGCCGACAGAGTTCAGTGTGTCGTCGGTGGACACCGCTGCAGCTCATAGTGGTCACTAGGTAACACACACCGCCCGCGAGGGAGGGAATTAAGTCAACGCCAAGTGTAAAAAACACTGAGGTGCCAGTTTATCTGGTAAGACAAGCTCAAACTACTCTATTGCAGTTTAATACATCAGCCATGGGTCACATGCAGCTTAACGTTGCGCTGAGATTATTAAATATACTTTTAGCTCGGTTCAAACTTACCTAACTACAGTTGCTACAGCCATGCAACAGGTCCGACACACGTGTAATTAAAACATGTTGATAGTCCCATTCCATTTAGTTTATGAAGGTCATTCGAGTGGGCAAAATGCCAGATCCCTGGCCAATTGAAATGGAACAGGGCCACAGCTGATGTTATCAACTGCATCAATGTTTACCCTGCAGAGACATGTCGAAGTGTCTACTGTGAAAGAGCGTGGATGACATGGTTACAGAAAATAACTTTCAGGATGGGTGCATTATTTGATTGTTGTGAAGGAAGTTTCACAAGCCGCCCCTAGCTGAAAGCATAAATTACAAATTAGCGAGAACAAATTACCAAACAAATTTAGCCTCTGACAACTGGGCTCCGTACATGAATAAATCAATATCCAACTTGCATTCCTTCTGGATCACTGAGGTAGTTTTATTCTAAAAAGTATTTTTTGCATCTTAGAATAATCATACATGTGCTGTTCCCCAACTCAGTTCCTGTAATATATTCGGAGGTGTGAAAATATACAGGTGCAGGTGTGTACGCCTCTTACCATTGTGAATGTCTAGGGCTTGTGGATTGTAGACAGCCAGTGGCCGATTCTGTCGACTCTGCTTCTTGGACTGCCTCGTGGGAGCGGACGCTATTTGGGCCGGAGGTGAAGGAGGGCACGACTCTGGAGCATCGGTGAAGATCTGAATACACAATGTGATTACAGTAAGCTGTGAGCGAGACTGAAAGCACAGCGCAGTTAAGAGTTGAGCAGCGGCAGCAGCTGGATCGGCAGTAGCGCGTCCTCAACTGACCTCACTTAGTGAACAGCTTTTTGAAACTCGCAGCCTTTATGCAGTCACAGCATGCGCTCCCAGGGAGAGCCGAGCAGCACATTGATAGGACCCTAACGGCAGCATGCCAGAGGATTTTAGCCAAAATTAAAGAGAGCAGCTCCACATGTAACACAGGACGCATCCCGTCCAGAAATACGGGTCCGACTTAAGGTGACATTAACTGACCCACTCTCTGAAAGAGCAGAGAGTCAAACAAGCGGGGTTTGGACTCGCAGAGGGCCGGCCCGGCTGACGCAGGCTGTTTACACATGAAACCTCAGAAGTAGAGTTAAAAGAGAATGGGGCTGCAGAGCAGGGGAAGTCCCAGCAGAGACTCAGAAAGGATCACAGAGGAAGGTAGGGAATGGAGGAGCGAGAGAGAGGCAGAGAAAGTGAGACGGCATGAACGAGAGAGGCAGACACAGACGAGCGGGGTTGGGGGGGAGGGGGGGGGAGGAGGGGTTTGCTGTGAGAGAGAAAGTTTGCAGGAGAAAGCCGATAGAAAAAGTGAGAAATCTGATATGGCTGAGAGTTTCTGCCGTCTCCTCCTGCAGATGGAGGTGAATGTAAAACAGAGTCTACTGTTGGTATCAACAGTCTGGAGAAGGACTAAGCTGGGAGAGAAGTTAATGCCTGCCTGTTCAACTTTTCCCCTTGCTCTGACACGTTGTACTTTCCGAAAAGCTCTCGCTGCATTCTAACACTACATCTGTTATCACCTGGACGGTGTTGGATACCTCAGGGTAGTCTCAGGGACTAGCAGTACATACGGTGTCGTTTTAGCACATTTCTATAGCCTGTTGGGTTTCACCAAGCCTCTGTATTCTCTCACACCCCATTTTAGATTTGCGAGCTTGGGTGGAGCTATTATTCACAGCACACATCATATTTCATTTAATGAAACTGGAGGAAAACAACAAAAAGAAAGACCAAAAGCTCTTCGGTTCCATCTGATTCAAGGCCGAGTGCAGTGAACCAAATGGATTATAAAACTAATCCCAAACCTTTTTCTCTTGTGACGCTCAAAATGATCCCCCTTTGAGGTTTGACACCAATTAATGACATCCTAAGATTACCTGATCCCATGAACTACAGGTTATAGAACAACCTTTTAAGCAAAATAAAATGCACTGAGGCAGGCAAAAGACCTTCCAAATGAAACAAACTGTATATCAGAAGAACTAACGTCCTGACAATGAATAGAATAGAATGTGTTTGATTCCAGTGTGAGCACTCGGGGCTCCCCCTATTGGCCAAATAAAAGATTCTGTCTATTAAAAAGTGCCGTCTTGCTCCCTGGTACCTGAACAACTGGGTGAAAAGGAACGCTCTCCCAAAGGATTACGTTAAATGTGATGCACGTCTCATTAGCCTGCTCATTATTTTGTAGAAGCCATAAACACAATATACGTTGACTTAAAACAGATCACTGAAATTGTCAGGCACAGTACAGTGTGCACACTTCTCTGCCAACAGAAAATGCCAAGTTGAAACTTAAAAGAAAAAACTTCTAAATATTGTAGGAAAGCAGAAGTCCTGAGAGACCAGGAAGTGCAAACATTGGATCTTTTGCTTTGCTTGCACATTTATTATGCTTGCGTATCAAGTGATTAGGTGCCGCCCAGATGGATAAACACAGAGGTACTGTGTGTCTCCTCCTTCAGATTTGACATGGTGTCATCATTGTACCTTGCGTTGGCACACATTCTTTTCGTATATATAGTGCTGGATGGCAAATGGAAACAACTATACAATGTTGCAGAGAAAAATGCATTTGGAAGTTTGGGAGAAAAATAAAACATAATGCAACCAAAATACCTTTTTCTCTGTTTTTATAGACATGGTACTAATTACTACCATTAATAATATTTTTTTTATATAAATGGTACAGTCCGCACGACCCTGCATGTAATACAAATCCCAGTGGTGAGTGGTACCTTTTCATCGTGCTCTATGAGGATCTCCACCACAATGTTCTGGAACTTCAAATCCATGATGGCGGCGACGGTATCCTCCTGTGGCCTCATTAATGTGGGGCCAAACACCACGCCCAGGTTGGCCACGGTCATCAGATTGTGTTTACTGTGAGCCGCCACCCTGGGAAAGATAACATCTCACATTATACACCTATTACTCCAGCTTACCAACTCCGCTTCGCTGGTACGGCTACTGGACCCTTATTATTGATGTTCTGGATACAGTAAAAACAAGTAAACACTGAACACTTAACAGGAAAAGGGACACGAACAAATAAAAACGTGACTAGTGCCACACGGATGAAGATCATCTGTAGACGGTTCTGCCGAGTGAATATTAGCTTAACATTGTGAACATTATGAGTGAGTTTATGGTCTCAAACTCTAGCGTAAAGTTTACTTCGATACAGCACAATGTCAATTCGACCATGAAACGTATACTTTGGTTGAAAGGCCAAATCTGCTGAAACTCCTCCTCATTCCAAATATGGTCACAGGAGATAAACTTTGTGGAGAACAAACATTCACTTACATTTTGATTTGTTCAGCAAGATAAACATCGCAAACAATCACCACTTTTATGTTTCATAGAGCAGAAATACAAATGAAAGAAATAACCTGTTCTGGGGTATTAATAAACTGCCCCACAGTTGAATGATGTCATTGACGTCATTCACTGCAGACCATTGAGTAGCTTGATGACCCTTTGTAGTCTCATTTAGTCACTTGTTAGCAAACTGCCTTTATTGTGACACGCACATATTTCATGTCCTAGAACAAAGCGTAAAAATGTCATGAGCTTGTGTTAACCAGAGATATCGTTTGTGGAATCTATGAAAAAACACATTAAAAAATCTGGCAAGTGGAAAAATGCTCATTGCCTCAACTCTTCCTGTAGTACTCAATTGCTCTGAGTAAGACGTTGCAGAACATTTCATGAAAAGTATCGGAGCAAACCACCAAATGAAGAATTCAAAGAAGCAAATGCTTCGTGAGAGAAACAACAACACCCGACATACAGTCTAGATTTTTTTTCAAACTGTTTAAATGAGGTGTTGAGCCACCTCTAGATGACAATCTCACTCATTTAATATACAGTGAGGCATTTGTTATGCAAAATTGTTCTTTTGCTCTCCCCCCCCCCCCCCCCCATAAAGATCAAGCTTTCATCAAATTGGGATTTATTGTCATTTATTTTATCAGCTTAACAGAGAATGCTGCTAAAAAGCACTGAAGGAAACTTTTAAATATTTATTGTATGTAATAAGGCTCTTAATATAACGGAGAATTGAGGAAGAGTAATATACATGTAATGCCTTCTGGATTATTTTTACAAAAGGAAACACCTTCAGTAGATGAAGTTTGATCTGAGGAGGTCAAATATGTGGAAAACGAGAGAAAACATTAATTTGAAGAGAAAGTTAAGCGGACAGGTGAAGAGATTTCACACTCAAAATATGATGATACGCATTGGAGCAGCTGAGACAGTTTAAATAGCTTCAAAGGACGCCTTTGAAGACAAAAACATTGGTGACAACTCACATTTATAACATCTCTGAAAACCATTTCAGATAGGAGTGTGAAATTCTGGCTTCGCTTCCTTCCCCCTGCAGGACATGCACACACGCCAACTTCAGAAAAATATTCGAGGCTCTCCAGTCTGGAGAATTTCACGCTGGATAATCCAAATTCAATTTCAATAGCACAGCCTTTTTACCAGAGCCTGATTCTGCAGCGGGTTTCTATGAAATAAGATCCACCAGACTTTCACTGCCTCAGGGAAAAGGGATTATTTACTTATCTACAATTTGCTCATATTTAGCTTATAAAAAGCTTGCTGAGGTAAAACCTTGTAATGTTAGCTAACACTATTTCTTGAATCTCTCTTCCTATCTAATCTCACAAATGGAGTGATGCACAATAGCGGTCTATTCAGGGGTGTGTATAGTGACCTCAAGAGGAGTTCATTTAAAGAGGTCCATATTATTTCACTCCAGAATTCCCCCTTAAAAACGTTTAGCAATTCACAAATAACATGAAGAAGCAACAAAAAAGAATGTCATGAATGTCATCAAGTTTCTTAGCCATCAGTCACGGTAGACAGAGAGGAGATGGAGTGACAGCATGGAAGGGGGAGTGAAGAGAGTGGGAGTGAAGGAGAGAGAGAGAGAGACAGAGAGAGAAAGCATGTGGAGTGAGAATGAGGAGACAGACAAGAAGAGCAGAAAGAGAGAACTGAGTGGAGATGGGCTGAACTACGACCAAGGAACACTCACTTGGCCAGATGCTTCATGAGCAGCCCGAGGACCTGTCGATTCCTCTCCGGGAGTTTGTGGACCAGGCAGTGGACGGCTTGGATGCGGGACTCTGGACTGCCGCCCTCTGTTCAAACGGAGGAGAAGCAAAGCAGTTGCGTTAAAAACTACGAGGATTTCTACATACATCCACTATACAGCAAACAGCACATGATGGCGATACACCGTTGATCTGCTACACCACACCAAAATAATAAGTAGAATCAGCAGAATAATTGAAACGTCTACTACTTGAAAAGTCCTGGCAAACTAATTGGATTCATTCTGGAAAACAGAAATTAATGAAAGGACACAATGAATGGAGGCTATCACCTCCAGTCTAAGGATTGTAGGAAGATACATTCTGGTTTAACTAAGCGAAGAAGTGGTGTGAAAGTGATGCGTAGTCTGAAGCCTCCTGGATTTGGCAGCAGGTAGCACAATGCTGGCGAAGGAGACGGCGTTACGTTACTGTCGCTACTGTATGAAAGGGTTGTGTCAAAACCCCCAAAGATCATCTCTTAAACAATTCCTCACACATGGGCATCTGACCGCCCACACAGAACGAACGAACACACACACACACACACACACACACACACACACACACACACACAAAACATCATTACTATGGGAACGACAAGGATTTAAACATGGAAAAAGCTGCTTATGGATGCTGTCATCCATCAAAAAGAAAACATTCGTTGCTAATCCATTTTTTCCCCCCTCGTTATGAGGGCATTGCAAGCGCCTGATAAAAATTTCAACCTGATCCAATTATAGCACTTGTTGTAATAGGATTCAAGTTTGGCTTGCTAAAATAAAAAAATAAAAAAACATTTACCATATAAATGATGTTGTGTGGGTGGAAAAAAAAGTGAATGTCTTTTTGCTGTTCAAGGTCGCTCACCGGACCATTTGAGGCCATGCAAATTACAGCATATTTATAAAGCTTTTAGCTTTAACCTCATACAGTTATTTGGCCAGTTTGAAATTAGATGAAGATGGGCAGTAGTGGGAAAACTGAAATGCCAAAAAGGTATGTGTGAGCCAGAGGTGGCTGAACAGGATTCATTTCTCGTGACAAAAACGGGCAACGGTGTCGAGTGCAAATTTCTGAAGCTGGGTAAGAAGGCGTAAACTCACCGCAGAGCATTAAACGTGACACTTTTTAAGAGACATGTCGAGTGTCTGAAAGATTAGCTAGATCCTAATCAGCATTCAAGACACACGGACCAAAACGCTTTCCGACTATGAATCCTTTACTTAAGAGGATTGGCCACTACTGCCCACTTAAAAGAATTGGTCAAACGTTTACAAAGAGTGAATAAAACGGTGATTCAACAAGGTTTTCACGTGACTGAATATTTGCTAAGCTGACACTGCTCTGCGACTGACACAACACATGTGTACACTGGCCTGGTCTGTACTCCGTGACGGTGGAGGCAGAGGTCAAACTTACTTGGCGAGGCAAATAAACTCTTTGTAAAGTCCATAGGGTCATCAGCGGCTCTGGGGAGGCTTCTTTCACAGAAACAGAGAGAGAAAAAAGGAAGGGTCGAGAGAAGGGGGAAGGGGAAGGAGGGGAGAAGTGAGAGCTGAAGTGAGCCGAGGGGGTAGGGGGCGGACAAAAATAGCCGGCACACTGTTTTATAGGGTCTGCACACAGCAATGATTAATGTGGCCGGGCCCGGGGATGGAATTAGATGGTGCACACGTTGAGATAACCAAGTTCATCTGAAGGTACTTCCACACTGCAGCTGGCTATTGGCCAAAGGTACTTAGCCTCAGAGGAAAGTGAGGAGATTGACCCCCGCTTTATTCCAGCAGGCCAGCCACAAAGTGAAAGACATGTCAGGGCAATGCTGTGCAGGGTCTATTATAGCATAACAATATGGATGAGCAGTGTTAGCTTAAAGGTTGTTTGCCTGATTGAACAAAGCGTCTGCACCCATAGAACCAGAGGAGACAGATTGTGAGTGAGTTAATGAGCCCTCAACCCCTCTGAAGAGGAACCTTTGTTTACACCCTGATCAAGATGCTTGAGAGACGATGGGCTAATCCCATTTATTTATTTATTTCTAGAATTTGTTATGTTTTATGATGTTTGGTTTTTCTGCTTATTTTGTAAGGATCTTGTTTACCGGCCACTTCCATTCATGTCATGGTTTGTTTCGGGTGGGTGCGTTATATGAGCCTGTGTGTTCTTTTTCTTTTTTTTTCTCCATAATCTGGATTTTATAAAATTTGGTTTTGGCCAATACAAGAAATCTTTAAAAAATAAAATAAAAGCAGATGATGGCCTTAAAGCCATATTGCTTAACTATACGGGTATGGGCTTCGTGTGAGTTTATTTACTGTGTTAAAAAGGAAAAAAAGACCACGTCCAAACTCAGAAAACATAACTTTGCTTCCATTTTAATAAGCAAATTTAATTTAATTTGTTGCTCGCTGAACATGTTTACAAAAGAAAAAAAGGTTCGGCATTTAAATGAAAACCTGCCTCAGCTTCTTGCAACCAAACTACATTTTTAATCTTTGAACTTCGGCCCCTCGGTCTGTCAACCAGGAAGGAGTCGGTGAATGTGGAACAAGCATACAGTGAGCAATGTGACCTCGCAAGGAGTTAATTATTCAGCAGCACTTTGCATAATTAACTGGTTTTATATGAAAAGACGGAAACGAGAATGGATTGAATGTTTGAAATGAACAGAGCCTCCATCGTATTCTTCAAAAGAAGATGTTCCTTCAACCACTGGGGTCTTCGTAGGTCAGACACTGTGAACTCGGTCACGTCACAGCCTCTGATTCAATTCATTAATACAATTTCACAAAATGACATTACTACATTAAATGAACAAGGCAAACATGAATGAGAATTTAGAACGGTGTGAGTGACAGGAAACGTTAAACTGAACACAACAGAGGTGAAATGATTAGCAAGTACAACCATATAAAACTATGATGCTGGGTAGATTTTAGGTCACTTTACGGTTTTGTACATGAAATATTCAACATGTCAGTGACGATTCTAAACCGTCAAAGATTTATTGCTTTATTCAACCAAAGTCCAAAAAATGATGGATTACACATATGACAGATAATCAGCAGAAAAATAGGGAATATTTGAGAATATGACCGAGTGAGTCTTTAATCCCGCTGATCCTTACCTCAGATAGAGCTTCAGTGTACTCGTTACCGTCTTCACATCCCAGTCCTCGCTGGTAGACAGGTCCACTTCGTTGCTCTCCTCATCTGAATCAAACACAAATCACCAAACATATTCCTCGTTTTTAACGAATTTTAACAGCCAACCGTAGTTATCCACATTCAGCAGCCAAGCGCTCATATTTCATGGGCGCCCTACAATGTCACGATATGCAATATAAATATGTAACTAGTAATAAGTCACGAGAGGATAAAAGCAGTGCTGCTAGCCTGGAGGGGCTGTCTAGTCCAGCCTGGGTGGATATGGAAGGAAGTTACAGCTTCTGTAGGGCGCTGCTGGTTCTTTACTCATTAACTTTAATTAATCCCGCACTACGTCGCTGGCTCCACAGGGACACCAGCGCTGTGTTTTGCTGAAAATTGAGGTGGCACGTTATCATGACCACCGATCAAGTAACCACGAATGAATTACTGAGGATGTGGAAGTAACGTGTCAGTGAGGTGTACTGCAGAGGGCTCCGGTCGCCTCGCGGCTTCAAGTCTCGTAGGTGGTCTGCGTTACATGGCATTTAAGGGTTTTTCATTATTTCATCCAAGCACAGCAGCCAGGAGGACTGTGTGTGTTTCTCCGCCTGCTCTGTCCAATATCAACTTCTGCAAGCAAATGTTTTTCGGGGAGTGTTTGTAGCCAAAGCTGCGCCTCTGCAAGTGTGTGTATGCGTTGAGATTAATGAGGTCTGCACAGACTGTAGACTGCTTTAGCACAAGCGGCCTAGGAGTTGGTTAGGTCAAGGACACAAAAGGAAAATGATGGATTGAGAAGCATTGACCTTGACACCACTGACCACAAAGCAGCAGAAACGTTACAATTCTTTGTTGTTTTACATTAGTTATCTCAATTAAGCCTTTCGGGACACGACTGTACTGTTTGGGGACTGTAGCATAGCAACTAACGCTAAAAGTGCAGCTCCCATGGCATCCTTGGATGCACAAAAAGAACATTTGTGCTGTACACATCAATGACGCAGGTCTGTTAAACTGGAAACCCTGGAAACGTCGGACTTTTTCAAAAAGAGAAGGGCGGAATGAAAAACTGTTCTAATTAATGTGAAATGAAGTGAAATGAAGTGCAATATGACTGTTGCAAAATATCATGGATAGATCTTAATGAAATAAACAATGGGGTGTCATCATTGAAACCAACACATGGAGTGGTGCAGTGAACTTGAGTGGAGGGGAAAAAAAAGACAGTTTTATCCAACAAAATATTCAGCCTCTCTCCGTATTTGTTGAGGTTCGGCATTTCCTGAAGTCAATTTTCGCTGCAGTCAAACAAAATGTCCCCTGCTTGCACTCTTATCTTTATTAATGGGGTGGTGGAGCAGTCACTAGCAGCTCCAAGAACTTTTTTTTAAGGGTGATCATTTCATAAAACATGACAAAGCATAAAGCATTCAAAACCGTCAAATGTTTTTTCCTTGTGTCAGAGGTCCTATTCACAACATCCACTACTCTTGTGAAGCCCAGAGGAAAGTCTGGGTGAGCCGGCATACAGAGAAGGGATATGTGGGGCATCGGATTCAGCAAAAGAGAAGTCAAACTGGTTTGTAATTAAGATTTTTTTTTTTTATTCCCCAGCTGCTGATCAAAGGGACTCAACATGCAGACATGCCTCTCTAGCAAAGACATCACTAAACGCACCACAGGGCGCGGATTCTATAGATTACTTTTATAACGTCGTGGTTCTGATCGTAAATGAGTTCAAATCTATTTTATATTTTTGGCTGTAGGGCAAAACAATTGGCCAGTGCAATTGGACAGTATGGAGGCAGAGTTTGCACTTTTCTCTCACTAGCTCCTTTTATTCCTCCTTTATGGAATTATTTCTGTTATTTTTTTTAATGGAAAAACCAATTGAGTGAAACGCCATACGCGTCTTCACTAGGAACCGTCTAAAAAGGTACGCTACATTATTGAGTCTCTCCTCCTTCTGAGGCAGTCAGCGTCTAGCTCCTCCTCCTCGTTCTGCTTGATCAGAACCCAGTTTGCCTTCTGACCTCAGGCTGGACACCCCTGGCCTAGAAGGTCCAGCCTGACTCAGACTGAACTTAAATCAGAGAGGCGAGTCTACCAGCCACTGTGCGTGCGTGTCTGTTCCTTCGACATTAGTGAATCAACCGTTTTATCGAGAGCTGACAAAAACATTAAAGCAACCGGGCAGTTTTGTGTAATAAACCAAAGAACGGTGGCATTAGTATTCCTTTCCACCTGAAATGTAAAATGTATTGAGCAGATCTTTGGAAAATACCTTGAATTTGCCCCACTCTGCAATTATAGCCATGGAATCAAAATAGGCAAATCCCAACTGCACAAGGGACAGGTCGGGCAGAACGCACCGCTTATATTGTTGCCTGACATTGAAAGGTGGCCGCTATCTTTTTTTGGGCTTTGATGTGATGGAAGACTCGTTTTCTAGTACTCTGTATTCTCAGATTGGACCGTGGCCATGTCGGTGGGTGAGAGATGAAAAGGAGGAGGAGTGGGAGGATACGAAGACTTTCTTAAGGGTTTAAAGCTCGCTTCACCCACTCACTGTGAACTGCAGAAACGTTTTGTGTGCGGTGGTACTACCTCTGTCATTTCATAAGTTTTCTAGGCAGCTTAATGGAAATGTCTTTTTCCATTAAGTCTATCAGTGGACCAACATTTGCAGACGTTGAAGCCAGCAATGTCTGTATTTTTTCCTTGTTCATGACGATATGTGAAATGTCCAGAGCCCGCAGACAAATGCTTCTTTTACTACAATCAGGTCTTAAAGAAACTTCTTAAAATGCAGCAGCAGAGTGTTAATGGAGGCCACAGCATAAGTCGGCAGGCTGGAAGTTTTTGGAGAGGAAGCCGAGACAGGCTGCCAGTTGCCAGAGTTTGTTGTTATTCTGGACACAGAGCTGAAAGCCAGCTCGTGCCTGCCGGAGACGGCAGGAAACCAGAGTGCAGACGGGGAGCCACGACTGAAAGGGATTCAAGACCAGTGTGCGGCACAAAGGAAAGACGACTGATGACTTTGAGTGGAGGAGAGGCGGGTTTAGTGGTGCGTTAATGAAGCACAAGGCAAAAAACTGCGGCTGGGAGGGGTCCTCACTAGTTGTCTGGGGGAAATACAACAGACATGAAGTGAGTAAAAGATTTGAGAGACATGCTTCTGATGGGTCATGGGCTGATTGTAGGTCACTATCTTTTTAATATGGTTTTAACTTTTGTTCGGTTCTGACCAGCAAATTTCTAAGCAAAATGTATTTGAAGAACGGAAAGAAAATAATAGCATTGTACTTACCAATCATTAATGAGAGGAGCTTCTGGACCTTGGAGCTCACCCCAACAACTCTGTACAGGCCTTGGTCATTAATACCTGAAAGCAATCAGGAAACTTTATTACTGATCTTAATATTTTAAAGTGCTTTACAAGGAAAAGAACACAGAAACCACACAATAAATGAGAGGACCAAAACAAGAATAAGAACAGAAACGTACATATATAGTGTTGTCTATACATCAGATACATGAATAAATTACTGCAATTTAACAGTTTAGTATGGTAGATAAACCATTGCAGAAATAAATGTTGAGGGGGAACAGAACAAAATGAAAATCAAATTAATAAGAACGTAAGTGCTGCAAAATGAAAAGCATTATTCATAGACTATTCCTTCAGTATGTACTGCCTGCACTAGCTTCCAGTCAGACTTTGGTACCAATATTGGAGCAAGTCTGCCCCCTTGTGTAGAGATGACAATAGTGCTCCTACGTTACCATTTACCAAATGTCATGTTAAATAAATGACCTTACTTATGCAAGGCTCACCTCTTGTCTCTATGGCGCTGATGGCGTTCTTCATAAAACTCAAACCGACATTATTCAGCTGAGCATCAACTGCAGAGATCAAAATAAATCATAAAAAAGGGGTCATGCATTGCGCTCATGAAAGTTTATGATATTCTTTTACAGATACAAAGTCTCCAAAGAATGCTTACTGCCTCTTTCTTTAGAATACGTCCTCCCGAGATAAGGTCCAGACTAGAGGAAAAATAAAAAAAACCTTTATGGCTTAACAAAGTATACTTGGACATCGTGATGCACAGTAAAGTGCAGGTATGTGGCAGCACAACACAAAAAGAAAGGTTTCCTCAAAAAGATGGCAGTTAAACAGCATACAGTGGAGCTACATGACTCAAGTGTGAGTAACACGAAAACACAACACGGTGCAGGCGGCTGACTCACAGCTTCCTTCCCATCCATGGCCTGCATCCAGAACTTGTGGTCATCCTCTGACATAGCCTGTACTGTCAGCACCGTGCCAGGGCTGGAAGAGAGCCACACCACATCAGCGTTAGAGGTACAGACAGCAGGGAACTGCTCTGTGTCATTAGAAAGCACCAAAAGGAGCAAAATATTTGACACAAAAAAATCACCTCGGTTTGGCAATTACTAAAAATATGAGACCTATCAGTTGTCCATGCGGATACATGGAACATACCATCACGTGGGACCAGATAGATATCAAGCTACTCATCCCCATCAGCTGGATGTGTGGAGACTCAAATGACCATGTTAAATCTGGGCTATTGCTCTTCTATTAATACTACGGGAAAAAAAGGGTAGGGCAGAGTTCAGTTGAGTGACAAAATGAGATATCCATAACAGCACGGCACAGAGGGGTGCGACAAATTACCCTAATTAAGTGTGTGAGGATAGCCCCCCCGACATAAATCCTGCTGTCCTGCCCTCAGCAATACAGAACACAGAGCAGAAAGCTGACCTAGTTGTGTGAAGCTGTAGTCTTTAGCAAGGCTGTTAATGTGGAATGCCACAGTGGATAATCGATGCGTGTCTGTAATATAAAATATATATCATTAGTGTGTTAACAGAAGAGGTGTTAGGCAAAGACGTACCGATCCGTAATTTCAAGTTCTAAGCAGAACCTCCTGTCCAACACGTCTAACGTCTTGCGGAGACAGGATTTGAGCGTGACGGATTCTGTCTCCCCCTGAAAAAGAGAGAAAGTCCTTACTGTACGGAGCAAAATGAATTACAACAGATAGCGTGTCATTCCAGAGTGAGATGACGTAGTGCACAAAGTTGTTTGGATTTCAGAAATCTGGCGAGGCATCAACGTGTCGTAGGACAACTCACTATCTTGCCACCGGATCTGTGGTCAAAGGTCACCATGTGAAGAATCTTCTGCTTTGTGACATACGTGCTGTAGCGCTTGACCCAACTTGAGCCGAAGGGAGGCGGCCCTGGAAAAACAAGCGCGTGACACAGACATTCAACGCGGTTTGCGTAGCAACCATCCGTCCATACACAGCAGTATCAGGGCAGACATCCAGAGTGATGTGTGACAGCAAGTAGACAAGAATTATAACCGGTTCACTCAAGTCTGTAAGTCAGCATTTAGTACCAAGTGCGTCACATTGCACTTCTATTGCTGCTGCGGCTACTTAAAAATGGATTTGAAACATCCATGTATTTTTCCCATTATAGGGATGCAGAGAATTACTTCACTGCCACACAACCCTTTAGATAGAATCACTGACAACCCACAGTGGGCACAGGAAACCTTTAAATCGTAAATACCACCACTTCTATAAGTGTTTTAAAAAAAGCAGTAAAAGACACTTTCTGATTATGAAATTGGAGTATGTTTATGTGCGTGTTAAAAATGGGTGTAATAGGACACCCCCGAATAAAACAACATTTGAGATATACATCTTACGTTTTTCTTGTACATAGAGGTAACCTTCACAACTGATGGGGCTGGTCTGTCTGTATTCTTGAGGGGCCTCCCTTATCCTCTTCATTAGATCGTACACCTCTGACCGCGCGCCCTCAAAACGACTCCTTGTCTGGTGGGAGGGGGAGGAGGGTGGGGGGTAAACACAGGCTCCAGGAAGTCACTTCCTGATGCTCAGTGATTAGGCAGAGAGACCTTCCTAACAAGAGGTCACAACAACTCAAATCTCCAGGGTTGTCCTTGGAAACGCCGTTATCGCCATGACAAGAGTTTTATAGCATTTATTGCCAAAATATGTTGGACATACAAGATATTTGACATGCAGAAATTGACAACATAACAATGTGCATAACTATGGACAGTAAGACAACGGACACTGCAGGAAAATTTACATCTTGATTTAAATCTACACTATAAAATAGAAGAATATAAACAAGAGGAATAAAAATAAAGTGCACAGGCAGTGCACAACAGATGACCATACTCCGATGTAATCCAAAACAAAGAATGAAACCGAAAAAATACCAAATCAAGACAACATATTGGCCTGGAGGAAACCAAAGTTCCGTGATGCTGTTTTCAGCTATAGTGTTTTCTTTCACGGGCCTTCTGATCTCTACTCTGATTGTATTCACTCTGGCACCCATTATACAGCTTTGTGCTCTTTGGGCAGATGGAGAGCACACAACATGTGTAAAATCAATTGCCGTCATGCTCAGAATCATCCTTATGCAAATACAAGAAGAAAACATGAATCTTTCTTACATTCTGAATATTGATCTGCAGTGCTTTTTTATAGTGGTCAAAGTCCTTGGCGAGCTCAAAGCCCTGGTGATAAAAGGTGAAGACCGTCTGAAAGAAGGCCAGCATCTAAAAAAAGATCAGGACACATAAAGGACAGATAAAGAGACGCTGATCTAAACAGCCAGCGAGCGAAAGAGAAACTCACAACGCAATCGCTCATTGAGACAAATCCTACATTGCCCCCCTGCTGTTATCTATGTGAAACATCATTGCTGACATGCCGCCAGGTTATGTCACTCACCGGCTCCACACACTCAAACTTCTTTCTCTCCTGTATCTCCTGCAGTTTGCACACATAGGTCAGCGACTCCTCCTGAAAGTGCAGCTTCATGGTTTCCACCTGGCTGTCAGCCTGGGGGGAGGAGGTTGAAGTGGGAGAGGCGACACACATCGTGATTTAAAAAAAAACGGCACTTTTCTCGGGAAAGGGGGATATTGGTGGTGGTAAGGTCTAGATCAAATATGGTAAGAGTTCAAATTGAGTTTGGGAAAATGTATTGTTGCCCCAAATAATTGTCTCAGGAGGTTGTGGGATCTGCACAACGTACCACACCCTCTATCTGAGGGAAGCTTCACGCACCATACAACTGGGGGGTAAAGTAAAGCCCCAGCAGAGCGAAGGGGGATTTGTTCCATTCTTGCTGTGAGGCAAAACAAACCACTGTGCCAGCCTTGAGGGACAGGTCACATCCCAGAAAAACACACAGTGTGTATTCTCATACATACACAAACACATATATATGTTTGTGTATGTATGAGAATTTACCAAAGAATCTAATGCACCATTTATGAAGTTCATGACTCCTGTGGCTGTGAATTAATCCCTGGGTCTATCTATTCCAAGTCTGATAGAAACCATTGTTGGTAACACAAGAGCGCCACAGAGAACAGAACAGCCTGCAGGCATCACGTCGACATGGCTTCATTAAAGACAAGGAGGCAGAAACATTGTTTAGCGAGCGGTCGTTGACTCCGCAGTTAAAAGGGCCCACACTGTTGTACTGGTGCATGGATTGTTTCCCAAACTACAGCCCCCAGTTCTGACTTTTGGTCAGAAGTGAGCACACACCTACTTTCCCCCGACCGGGCTGGAAAAACTGCTGCTGTAAGACTTGTTAGTGGAAACTCGCACGGTCCAACAGGCTTTGCAGCGTGGCGCCAAAGGCAAAAAGGGGAAACAGGAATTCTCTAACTACGCAAAATAACCGTTTCCATCCGTTTTGCTGCTACTATGAATGACTATATTCTGCTTGCTACAGATCTGCTGGGTGAGATCAGGCAGGGATTAATACCTCTTGAAGCTGGGGCTCTTTCTTCTTCGCCGACATATTCAGAAGCTTCTCCAGAGAGCTGTAGTACTTTTCGGTTTCTTTCTCATACTTCTTTCTCTCCGCCTTATGAAGGAATATAGGAAGAACAAAATCTAAATTAATCTTGGGGACAAAGGAGTCAATGCTGTGTTTGCAGTACAATTGATATGTTATCAACTGATTATTTTTATCGTGGGGGTACAACAAACATAAAAATATATAAACCAAGAGCGTCAACATATTTTGTGAAGATAAAAAGTCATACATTACCCTTACTGTACCAAGCTGGTCTTTCCTGAACTTCTCCAGGGGTTTCATTAATGTTTCTGTGATGTTTCTCATCTAGACACACCAACAACGGTGCCTTCATTATCTCATTATTTCATGTGACAACAGCATTTTCCAGTATTGCATGTTTACGAACTCCATTGAAGGTTGGCAAGCAATAAATCACATGCAGTGACATAACTATTATTCTAAAAGTAGCTTTGTCTTCCTATATCCTAAAACGTATTTCTTTCATTCCCCCAGTGCTTCTGCTGTGTGTGCTGCGGGACATGTCTGTGCCTGCATGCTCAGCCTACTTCTCCTTACTTAGATGTCATGCGACTTTGATTAGCAGTGCTGTGTTTGCGCTAAAACAGTCATCTCAATCAGCTACTGATGACGGGCCCACACCCTAACCTCAGACACTACAGAGAGACAGACACTACGACAGAGCGGCTTTTCATAGAAACCCAACTAAACTAAACTAAACGAAGTAGATGAATTACATAACATCTACAGAGGTTGTTAGGGATTTAAGCCAGAAGTGCACCCCTAACAAGGTCACAATATATCATAGGACCCAGAGTCTGACCGTCGGAGATACCACAGTAAGGCGCATAGTGTGGCACTTTTAACACTTCAGGGTAGCAGGTCATAAACCACCACCATAATTAAGATCAGATCCTGCGACTTCTTCCATGCGGGAGTTTGCGATTGATAAATGAGCAACGCTACTCGCGCTGCCTGATGCAGAAGCGACTTTTATGGTGGTGTGTTGTGAAGGTCTGTAAGCTTATGTGGATCGGTCTTGGTATTTAAAGCTTGGCTCCGAAAAGTGGATCCCGTCCTCTTAGACTCCAAGGCAAGCGGGCGTGATAGTGACAATAAGACAAGCACAACTGTTGGGAAACTATCAATACACATTCACCTACGAGGGAACTGGTTTGCTTTGCCTGCCGGATGCAGCGGTTAGGCTGCACGTCAGCAAAATTTTAAAAGATTATGAGGGCCTGTCTGAATCCCTGGCAGATGACCGAGTCAGACATTAATAGATGCAAGTACCAAATAAGGGCAGTAATAGGTGAAGGCTGGTTGGAAATGCACGCAGCGCAGGCATACAAAGTTAAACAAAACGGGTTTAGTCCACCACAGCATGCAGCCGCACACACAGGTATTTGCCCTTCAAGCAGGTTCTGACTGGCTGTTCTCACCATCAGCTCTCTTTGGTCTTCGAGGTTTTTAAGGAATGAAGAGAACTCTTGCAAAGATTCATCTGAAAAAAGAAAAGAAAATGATCAAAGTCTGCTTGGTGACAACAAGACTAGTGGTTACTTTCCATCATGTGAGAAGAAAAACCACAGATAAAGCAAATTTGTGGTTTGTGAGCGAGGCAATACAAAACTAATTAAAGTGCCAAACCCACACTTACCGATGCACTTCTCATCATCAGTCTTGGCATCGCCGATGTACTCAAACTGAAACTCTCCCAGGCACTGGGCAAACTTTCTCTGTGCCATCCCAAGCTCTGAAAGAAAACAATAACAGCTGAGCATTTATAAAGAGGCAGAACACTAAATAGGATTTGACTATGTTGTCAAAGTCTAAAAGCTTTACCATCCTGCTTTGATGAGGAGTTTATCAAAAAAAGGTAACACAGCATCAGCAATGCTGAGGAGTTAGTTTAAGGACAGTTAACCCCTTTGCAAACATCCTGTTTGTCTGCAGTCTGCCACATCCTGTTGCACATCGGGCCCTGGTGTACCAGGAGGGTAGCTGCCTCAGGTTAGCCAAGAGAGTAAACAGTGTTTAATCATCTGTGTGCCAGCCGTAGCTTACACAAATGAAGAGAGGAAACACCTTGACAACACCAACGTATTAGCCAGATGCTGGATAGCCCCAGAAGCTCATAGTAGATCCTACTGTTGTTCACTTTAGGTTAAATATCGTTCATCATATTGTTTATTTTATAGCTGTCGGGATCAATGATAACATTTAGCTTTAGCAGTTCAACAGAAATAAAACAATGCCAGCTGTAGTCTTGGGCCTTCATTGGGATAAACAACAGTAAATTAGCAACATCTTTGGGCCTTTACTGAAGAAAAGTGTATTTGTTTTATACCACAGATCCCTTCAACGCCACTGTGTTGTGTAATTTGATGTCTCTAAATGAACATCTCTACCAATGATGCAATGCAAAATGCAACTGCATTGCAGATGTAGTATCAGTAAACGTCTTTTGCTCAGCACTAATACCCTAAAACAGCATTAATCCTCCACTAACCAAAAGGAAGACAAAGCAATATAGCAAATACATCTCTCATGAAAGCCCTTCATGCTGTTACATGTTCTGCAACATGGATGATTTAGAAAACCAAATGGGTCTAAATCTACAGGAAAGGAACTCAATTTACATCCTTCAGCTTGCTGATGTTAATCAATTTACTAAATGTCAGAACCAGATGAATGCCTCATGCGAGCCCTCGCATAATATATATATATATATATATATATATATATATATATATATATATATATATATATATATATATACACACACACTCCTAATGCTGTATGAAAAGAGATCTATGGTTTCAGTCCACCCTCCGCTGCACCCATTGCAAAGCAGTAAACACTGCAAACCGAATCTATTTCCAAACCGTGAGGAGATTCCCCGAGGAGGAGCCTCTGACCCAACGCAGTCCGTTGGGGAAGCATGACAGAATGCAGCAATGGTATTTTAAGCCCGGAGCTGTGAGCGGTGTCCTGGGGAGCGGTGTCATTAGATGGGGCAGATAGCCAGGACTCTGCGGGGAACAATCGGCTCACAACCAGCACTATCGAGCAGAGCTCTGACTTCGCTAAGCATCGGTTACTGCTACATGAGCACACAACGGGCTTGTTTGAATGGGGAGCTGCAACTAACGACTGAATCTCTAACAGTCATTTCAGCAAATATTTCAAAAAGACAACACTGTGTTCTTGTTGGGCTTTGAGTTTTGTTCTCCTATTGTTGCAGTTGCCAGAGTCCTTGAAACAAGTACAAATGTAATTGGGGAAACTACATTGTTTTCGCTGTTTGGCCAACGAAAGGTCCACAAACTGAATTTAAATTGGGGATGTTGTAGTAACGTGGGATGCGTCTTGGTCAACATGTCACTTTGAAAACAGTTTTGTTTCTGATGCCATCCAATATTCGACAGATAGAAAAGCCACCAAAACCCCAAGAACGAAGAATTGCTGAGGCACTTAACATTTGTTTTGTAGTACAGCTAATAATAAAATGTCAAGAAAATTGGTAATTCTAACGATAATTATTACTTTTCTAATGTGGGGGTACTTCATATCCCTGTCTCTCCTGCTGCTGACACACACTTCGGGTTCTGTGAGCGGTGTGTGTGGATGTACACTGTGGATTAAATCTACAGTCGGGCCCGAAGCCTGAACACGTGAGAAGTCTTGGACAATGTCTGCATGGGGCGTGCACTAAAGGGGCCACGCTTCTGCCCGCGAGGATTACTTTCATCCTCAATCTCAAATCTTTACGATAACAAAGCACACACATTTGGGCAAGCAAACAGCTGTGGTCGATTTGTGTAAATCAGCAAAGTGCAGGAAGCTAAGGGATGCAAACTTGACAATGGGACGACAGCGTTTTACAGCGCTTACAATGGTTTGTTCTTTGAGTAGGTCTACATATAGCACTTGGAGGAAATGTGCCTTCTTTGCTCCTGGTGAGGTTATTTTTTCTTTTGCTAACGAATTAAAAGTTGAAGCAGTGGTCACTTTCTGGCCAACATGCTTCTGCCACAGAGGTGACTTCCAGCTGGTGTAGTTCTCCAAATTAAAAAAAGGTATGGCAACTATAAGTTGCTTAGTTTGAGAGCAAACGCTTGCTGTATCAAACGTTGCAATTTTCTTTAAAGTGACCGAAGAAATCTAGATGGAATCCAAACCACACAGACCGGTGTGCAAGTCCATAAAAGGTATTCGGTCACTCTTGTGTAGGCAACAGTCCCTAATTAGCAGCACATGGGGTGATTGACTGTAGACAAAACAAACCCCCCTATATCAGTATGGCCTATCAGAGTCCAGTAAGCAGGATGGAGACTGGACTTACTTTAATTGGTTAGAGCATTTCATACCTCTCCTCAAATTGAATTGGTAAGCGTTTTGATGGATGGATGGCCTAAGGCCTCTGGTGCCAAATGCACCACTGTGGACATAGTTCACTGCAGTTTGTCTAAAATCAATGTAAAGTACTTTTTTTTAAATTTAAAAAAATCTATATCAATCTTTACATGAAAACACCATATCTTTATCAGCATGGAAAACATCCTGGTAACAGATGCTATGAGTGGTGATCGTGTATTCAAACAGCTCTACTTTTAAGCAAAGCCTGTGTTAACTTGACTTTATCGCACACCACATTGGTGATACAATCTAGCAAAAACAAAACTGAAAGAGTCCTCATCCATGCAAACCCTGCTGAATGATAAGAGCTTCTTTTGGCACGTTTGGCCCAACGGCATTCTGGGTCGGAGGCACGTTATACTACAAGTTTCCTTAAAGCTGAACCAGCCAACATTTTAATAAAACCATTGGAACAAATGCCTAGAAGTGAGGAACCCACAGAGTTATGAACAGCTCCACAGAGCCTTTTAGAGTCTCTGAGCACATCATTTGTTCTCGCTAACTTCCTCAGCAATCGTCTGCGTTGTCTCACTATGTGTCCCAGTCACAGCTGGGACACATAGTGGAAAATTTAGAGGTTAAACAGACAGTTTGTTGTAGCTCAAAACAGCCAAAAGAGCAGCTGTATGTTGGACTTAAAGATGTTGGGTGGCCAGAAACACGCCTCAAAATAAGTAACAATGTTGCTGAGTGATTAGGCAACCTTTTCCATTTCCCATCCCAACCACATCTTGGTGACATCATTTTGAGAAAACTTTTTCTTTAATACCCTTTGTTTGCTGCTTTAATGATTCTTATATGCAGGCTTCAAACTAAGAGTGACCAGGTTTCTGCAGTCTGTGTCTCTGCTTTGCTTTGAAGCAGTCTCCCGGAGGAATGTGGGGAAGATGAGTGCCTCATCATTTAAATCCCTGCTTTAATTGAACAGCAGTTTTAGAGGCTGTGTATGGTTTTATCTTGTTCTCGTACCGTGTCTACAATTGATTTCTTTTCTAGTGATTTTGGTTCTGCTTTTAATTAGCGTTGTTTGCAATATTTATTTTTACATAGAGGAAGCTTCCACTACAAAATGAGTATATGTTATAACTAAAAAGTTATAATCTGCTATTGTTGTCAGGAAGCAGTACTAGTATTTGAAGTTATGTAATGAGTTATACACCATTAAACTAAGCATGATCATTATCATCCATACTCATTCTCTATTAGTCAGATGGAAAATCAGTTATTATGGAATCAGTCGGTCTACTGCTGCACTCAAATGATCAAAAACACACATGCATGTAGAGTGGAAAGTTCAGCTACTCCCCCAGATAGTAAAAACATGTTTTGCCAACAATACACTGAACGTTGGCACACCTTAACACAACCTCAACATATTATTATTATGTTCAAGTCAGGGCAGTATCCACACACACAATACATGTACTCATTTTTGCTTTAATTGAATGTTCTGTTTAAAAAAAAAAAAAAAAAAAAACCTACTAACTATTTCACACAATAATAATTTTAAGGGTAATTGAGCAAATACAGCATCAAGGCTCAGGTCACGGTGTACTCAAAGAACAGTGATGTCAAGAGATAGATCTGCAAGCTCTTTATTAGAGCCACATGCCAGCGTGGTGCACAGCTGACACCCAGTCGGATTACACAGGCTGCATGCATGTTCAATTCCATGCTGGGTGGACAATTGTTAGAATCTATGAGGCCAGGCTGTGTGGACTTCATTACATAAAACCCAAAGAATGAATGTTATCCGGTTACATGGAGCTCCAGAGTTAATCAACGGCAGGCAACATTTACAACAAAAAGAAGAAGAGAAAAAGCCACAGCATTCTTGTCACTGTACGGTCTATTGAAGTTAAAACCGAATTGATCAGATCAACGGTGCAACAAATAAAAGTGTCGGACGAGAGGATTGTATTACAGATACTTTACAGATAGAAATGGTAGTTCTTTCCCCAGGACAGCAGCTATCACAAGATAGAAATAACACACACACACACACACACATACACAAAGTCCAAGGCTACTCCTGCTTTTTGCCTTTTAAAGAAAGGCATTTCAGAGCAAACCTGGGAACGGTCTAACTTGGCTAGTCCAGCATGTGACTCACACAGACCCCACCTTACATATATCGGTTATTACAGGCCAGATGTTCCGTCATAGGAAAAACATAAGGAAAAAAAAAAGCTACTTCTGTGACATAAACATTGGTGACCCTGTTCAGAGGAAGAAAAACAAAGATGAGAGGAGCACCACACACAGACACACACTAAAGCACAGGCGGCTTTTCTTTGCTTTTAAACAAGACTGATTGCAAAGATTGCCAAAACA